GCAATCTGAATGCAAAGAGTGCACTACCAGAGTGCTGGAAAGCCATATGGGGAGTCATGCTTGAAGTCTGTAAGGTGACATGAGACCTAGAGTTCGTATGTGTGCCTCATGACCTAGCACTCCACTCTGCCAGCAGGCAGGACTTATCTCAGTGTTCACAATATTCTCACTGCTGTGGTTTTACTTTTCTGATGAGTCTGATTATTTACAATATTAGTTATGCCTTAAAAAAATCTTCTTGCATTGTATTTTCTTTCTTTAAAGGAAATCTGTGCTCTCTTGCAGAAATTTTCTTTTGTAATAATTACCTTTTGCACTAATGCATCATGTATGAAAAACTTCATTAATGATGGTGTCATGATACTGAGTCCAAATGGAGACTCACAGCAACTTAGAGTAGTTTGCCAACAGTACAGAAATATGTATTCATTCCATTGATCATGGAGCACTGCCAACAAATCTTTTCAACTTGACTCTAATTTGATGAAAACCACTATATCTACGTCAGATGGCAGGGGGCACCTGGGGACAGCCCCAGCCCTGGGTGTGGGGCACCTCCCTGGGGATGGGGACAGGCCGGGACATCAGCCTGTGGGTGGAGGTGGTTTGGTGGGACCCACGGCAGGGACACGGCTGCAGGGCAGGGAGAGCTGCAGCTCAGCCAGGGCCAAGGCAGGAGCCTCTGCTGGAAGGGTTTGCCCCCACAGTGCCTGGAAGCCTCCCCGAGGGTCACTGTGGGGAAGGGGCCACCCCTGGCTGCAGTGGCTCTGAGCTGGCCCCCAGTCTCAGCAGCCCGAGCTTCGTGACCTCCTGCAGACGCTCTCAGAACCCTCACAGCAGAGCTCACCATCAGGCTTTCCAAACAAGCCCCTCACAAAGGCTGCATTGTTACTCTCTCACGGCTGGAGAACAACAGACAAGAGATGACAGCCATATGCACCCATCAGTTGGGCTGAGCACAATTTTCCAGGCACTGCTGGCTCTGTGGCCATGTCAGTGCTAGTAAATGAACCATGCCTGCAGCACTTTGCTGGATCTATGGCTTTAGAGAAAACCTGAGTGAATGTTTTTCTGATTACATTTCATGGCTGTATTTTTTTCTCCTTATAGTAGAGCACTACCATTTTAATGAAAAAAAAAAACAACTTGGCTCAAACCCAAAAATGTAAGGGGTTACACAGGAACAACAAAATGTCTGGGCACATGCCAGAGTTGTACGACTTGTCAGCAGGAACCATCATGTATAAATGGGACTTTAAAAATGCCTAAAAAATCCCTCCATGGCCCAGGCCCCATTGACTAAATGGCGATGGTTTTCCAGGCAGTACAATTTTGCTGTTATCAGCTGTGCTATCACAATGCTATAGTAATAGTGAATTTCCCATTAGGATCAGGCTGAAGGGGATTAGGGGTTGGTATCAAATATATCACTCTGACAGGAAGCTCACCATGCAAACATGGCAAGAGACTTTACCTGCTCCCCAGGAGCATGTGCTCCCAGGATATTGTGTGGTAAAACCAAGAACATTCTCAAACAGGACCTGAGCAATTCCATTCCTTGCATTTCATTTGTTTCACTGGCAGTCTGTTTTGCTTCTCAAAGGTAAAAGCATATTCAAAATGCTTCAATGAAAGGTGTAAGAGCTGCATGCCTGGATCACTCTAACTTTGCTGGGAAATACACCTCATTGCTTATTCATGAAGCAGACCACAAAGTAGAAAACTCCTGGTAATAAAAGTAACAAGGGTAAGCATAAAGGAGCTCCCATCACAGAGTAAAACAGCAGCAGACAAAAATGATGAATCATTAAAACACCTTCCTTGTCCCCGCTCACCTCCTAGTGGGATGCTGTTCCTGGTAGCTAAAAAGCATACATCAGTCCCATGCCTCAGAGCTGCAGATGGCTGCTAGATGAAAATACAGTTTTCAGACATTTCTACTCCACAGGCTACAAATGATCTGTGCACAAGAGCTGCTCATTAAGTGGTACTCCAGAAGTTTCAAAGAGAGTCTGTATGATGGAAGTCCTCCTCTCTTGATCTTTCTCCAACTCAGGCTCTGAATTCTTATGAAGACTTAGGAGGAGATTTTAAACGGTGCTGTGCATTAAACTGCTTCTGGTATTGTTTGGCTTATACAAACAGTTGCCACCAGTGTATGCAGAAGATGGAGAACTAATCAGCAGAGACAGCAGGTGTTTTGAGCCCCTATTCTCTTCTGTGGTCCCTGCAGGCACCATCAAAATACATGGCTATTTTATACCAAGATCTAGTGAATGATAGCATCTAACAGATGCTTCATTCTTTGACAACTTTAGCTGTTAACAGACCAGAAGCATCTGGTATTCACTTCTGAACAGCAGATCAGAAAGTAGGAAACTCAAAGAATCCCACCCATCTCATATGCCCAGTAATTCCCAATCAAGAACAAAGTGCATCTTCTGAGCACATTTTGCAGGACACATTAGCATGCACCTCAGTAATATCCTATTAAAAAAAAAAAAAAAAAGAAAATAATCAAGAAAGGAAGGTGTGAACCACATCTGGCCCACAAGAACACATTATCAAAAACCAACATTTGAATCTTCAGTGCAACAAAGACTAATTCTTAAAGGGACAATCTTGCTCTAAAATAGTTAGGGAGCATGTGAGCCCCATACGTCCTATTGGAACTTTGTTAACTCAAACTATCCTGTCCAACTCAAAGATATATATGCTTATGCTTATGACCATGAGTCTGACTTTGGCTTTTAAAATCAGGCCGAGAAATGCAACTGTATTTAAGAACTAAAATCCTGTCCTTCAGAACAAAGCAGAGATGTCTGGTAAAATCCAAGAAGCTGTTAAGAAATAATATGGTGGCAGTAGTACAGTCAGATCAGCTCTGTGGCAACTCTGGGTTCAGAAAATGGGAGAAAGACTAGCATCTGTGGTCTGACTAGCTTCCAAAAGAACCTATATCAGCAGCTATTATTACATGAAATGTACCTACAATACTAGTTTCATACAGATCCCTTTACTGAAAGTAATATTTTCAGTACTGATTATACATCTGAGAATACATATGAGGAAAATAAGACCATTATTGTGTAAAAAACAAACTCACAACCTTTATTTGTCACCACACATTTCATGTACATGCAGAATGTATTTACATTTCTCTTTTAAGGCAAACAGAAATTGGGTTCTTATACCTGAGTTGCTTAGCACCAGTAGGAATAGCAAATAAAACCTTAAGAACTGCTGTCTCTCCCTCTGGAGTAGCAGCTGCTTCTGCTGCAAAGTATTTCTGCTTTCACCTCACAGTCCTTTCAATGATCTCTGCTGGAGAGATGGCCACTTGGAGCCATTTCTGTACAATTCAATGTCTTCACAGAATCTTCCTGACCAATCTGATAGTGGCTTTGTCATTTGCTGATGGCACAGCAGTACATCTGTTTTTGCTGACATGCATCAAGGTCTTCAGTTAAGAGTTCTGTATTTCTTCACTACCAAGAAAAGCTAACACTATCTTTTTATGTCTTTCTCATGTGTGCTGGCTGCTTCTCCAAAGCTAAGTTAAAATTAAGAGAGGTAAAAGTTCACCTCAGCCAGTGGAAGATTTTAGTGCTTGACTTTGTGGAAATGCCCACTGCAGCATTAGCCTTTAGGGAAGAAAATGCAAAGCAGTTTTTCAATTAACAAAATGCTCTCTCCTAGTCTGACTAACATTTGAGCCATCTGCATTATCTCCAGACTTTAGGTATTTGCTAAAATTTAGTGTTGAATTCCATTTAAAATATAGAGGCAGCATTTTCAATTAAGTGTTTGACATTTTTCATTTCCCATTGACTCAGTCTATCAACACCACTAATTCCAAGAGGCACTCTTCTCCCACGACTTTTAAGAAGACCAAAGAACATGATCCTAAGAGACAACATCTATTCTGTAAAAGATAAAGTTCCTATTTAACACAGAAGTGTAGACCAAGCAGAAAGTCCATAGTGCAAAATGGGGTATGACTCCTAAGTATGCCTTTCTCTGTGAGAAAGCTGTAGTTTGGAAAAATATTTTGATTCAATATACATTCTCTGATTTTTTTTCATGAATTCCTGAAATTGTCATTTTTAATGACTTGTCAAATACATGAATTTAAGGTCTCTGTTACTATTTAGTCTCTCTAGGTGTCCACCTCAGCTAATCAACTCTCATCACAAACAATTTTTAAACAAATGCTAATATTTACAGGTGTTTAATTCAAACATTCATTGAAAGAAACAGAGTAACTGTGCCTTTATTAAACTTATGGTTTATATTGGATATTAAAGAAAAAAAAAAAAACCCAAGTAATTTCTTCTTTTTTCTAGTTACTACCTGCTAGGATCAAATGTCTTTCACATTCATTTCACTCAGTAGTAACACACCCTGGTGTTATTACATTGGGAATATCCAAACAGTCAACTGTGAAGATACTACCTTTAAGAAAGATAAGCAATTTCACACAGAAATTCTTCACAAAGGTTTGCCAGCTCTTTTTTCCACTTCTCAGAGACCCTTATGAACAAAGCACCTAAGAAAATAAGTAAAAGGACAGTGAGAGGAATTCAGGAAGCACCTAACCAATATACCCCATCAGGAAGCTGACTCCTTCTGCTAAGGTACCTCTCCACAAAAGGTCTGAATGTTTTTCCAAGTAAGATGAGTTGAAATCAGTAAAAAATCAGTATTATTCTTCACTTGGTAACAGCTTTGTACACTCTAAAAAAAGCCAGGTTGCTGCAGGTATTCCTGATGAAGAGGAAGTCTATCATTTTGGTCCTCATTTCATTTCCTAAAAAGTGACCCACATGTAGCTTTATTTTTAAAATCAGCACTGCTGATTGTCTGAGATAATTTCAATACTAAGATGTTGAAGAGCTTACAAAATTTTAGAAAATCTGAAGAATTTCTCCCTGTAAATCCTTGATCCCTATTCTACTATACAAAGAAAATGCACTGTATTTATGGAAAAATATTATACAGTGACTGTTCACCTAGCAAGTTTATGAAATCTTGTCCTGCTATGCTGGTTACTTTGAAAAAAAATCTAGGACATCAACAATTCTGAGGTTCTCTTCTATTCACTGAGGACAGAGGATGCAGGCACTCACTCACTCTGCTACCCACTGCAGTCCCTGAGGTAACAGGAGATGATTAGCCTTCCCAGGCATCTCAGCAAAGTGAAATATTCCACAGTCACATGAATACCCCTTGCATTCAAGACAGTTCAGTGGCCTTGGAGATCAGTCACAGCACATCAGACATACTGTGTTCTCAGCTTGCCTGGGGTGGTAACTTGCACTCTTCAGATCTCTGAGATGAAGAATTAATCCTGCTCTTTTGAGGATGGCATCAGGTTATTGCAGTCTGAGTCCTTTTGTGCAGAAGGAAGAAGTCTGTAGGCAGAAATAAGTTTCTGGCTATTTTTGAAATGCTACGCCCAAAGGCACCAACTTCCACATGCAGAGTAAAGGACATTGTTACAGTGCAGATGAAACAGATTACGTATTTATAAGGAGTTTTATACACCTGAAATGTCACAAACATTTACAACTTTTCTGCCTTCAGAGTTCTGAAAATACTGAGCCATTACACTGCTGTCTCCTTTGAGTCCAATGTCTGTGGTGGCTTGAAGTTCACGATCTCTTTATATGTAATGCCTGCAAAACAACAGAACAGACATAGCATTGCTGTGGTCTAATGAGAAAAGGAGCTGCACAAACATGAATGAGCAAGGTACAACCCCAGCATGGCTGGGCTCTGATCTAGCTCAGGAAGAGAGAGACCTCTTCAGGCAACAAGAGAGGAAGAGTACAAAACCTAAGGGAATCAAGGATGACTTTTTCACCATTTCAGATTTTAAAAAGTAGCCCAGTACTGAAATGGTATAGGTGCTTTCAAAGGGATGTGAGCACTGACTTTTGAGTATAGTGGGCAATATTCTCAGCAAGAGCAACCGAGCACATTAGATTTAAAAGTTAGGTCCTGACTTAAAAGCCAAACTACAAACCTTTGACCTTAGATGAAAACAAGATTAGACTTAAATCTGCTGACACAGATATGTTTTTTCTCCCTCAGAGACTCTAAGGCCAGCAACCACTGCAGTCCTGTAGAGGCAACAGTCAAACAGTCAAATCTCTTCACCTGCTCTATCCACTGAAAGGCAAGTTACAGAAATGGTTTCTTTTCTATGTTCCAGCAGATGGGAGGACAGAAACATTAGGGAAATGGAGGACAGCTCTGTTAGGAAGCAGAGAAGAAACCTTTAGAGATCCTTCCACAAGAACTTGGTAAGAGGAACGCTGGCTTATCAGAAGTGTTTCTCTTAATGCTGTCTATTTACCCTGTATGACCAAAAGAAGAGGAGTTAATTTGTAAGAGGGATCATTTTTATTTTTGCATGGCCTTTCAATCTGGCTAATTCTGAAAACATCACAAAATTAAACTTACGCTTCCACTCATCTAATGGAAGATCCATGTTATCAAATGTGTCGTCGTATTTCTCAGCTTCAATCTCTTCCTCAGGATCATGAATTGGTTCAAAGTAGGGATGCAGCAAAGCCTCAGCTGCTGTGACTCGCTTCTCTGCATCCAGCACCAACATCTTCTCCAAAAGGTTTACAGCTATTGCACAGAAAACCAACAGTGCATCAAATCACACACCTGATTCCACTTGTACACAGTAATACTGCCCTGGAGTATTATAAATACATGGAGTACCAGAACAGATCACTGTGTGTCCATTTATAGCCAGTGGGGCCTCCTTGCATGACTGTTGTGAGCAAGCTGGGGATGTGTACAAAGCCTGATGCAATGCAGAGGTGCTCCCTTGCTTCTGTATGCAGTACAGAAAACATCTCAGCTAATGACTCCTCAGCTTCTGGCTCCAGGACCACTGAGCCTGGGGCTTTCCCAGGTGTCTTTAAGCACTGCCACTCATTGTGGTTCTAAGGGACATCACCCCCTGACAGCACCTGAATGAACAGGTGAACAGGGAGTGAGAACTGCGCTCTGTGTCACCAAACCCAGACCAAGTACACTCTGAAGGTCACTAAGACAGGTCAGCTGTCCATACTCAGAATCTCAGAGGTAATTTTATCTGCTATGTGGTTTTGACCTCAGCCAAAACAACCCATTGAAGTTCTGCATGTTCCCCTCCTGTGGATTCTGGATTCAGTCCACTGCTAGACTGTCAAAGTAGACTAGTGTAAACAGGTATGATGAATGATTCATTTTTTTCTGTTTTTTCTATCCTGAAAGGGTTTGGAGCAGCTGAAAGGAAGCAGAGGCAGTGTGGGAAATGATGCTTCACCCCAAGAAGTGTGGGACAGGATGCTTCAACTTCTGCTTGCATATTCTCTTTAAACTATTCCAGACCTGAAGCAGCCAGATGGGCATAGAAATGATAAAAGACATCCTAAGAACTAAATGGAAATGTGTAGCTTGCTATAGCTACCCATCAGCTAACCATGCAGTAAGGGTAAGAGCTGTTTATTAATCAGCTTTATTCATATCGTATCTGAAACCAAAATTTTAACTTAAATTAAGAAAATTTAAGTATCCTAATTAATATTCTAATAAAACTGGCTTGTTAGTGTTTAGATCATTGGGGAATTGATAATGCTTAAGGAGAGTCATTTCAGAGCTCTGCCAGCTTCATGTCATGTCACAGTTATGCACAGTTGATAGGCTCTTCTGGCTGTTAAAATCTATGGAATCCAAGCCACTGTTTCTCAGGAATGCACAGATGTTTCTCATGATGTATTAATTCTATTACTAAAATGTCAGCTTTCCATTTTCTTGTATTTCAACTGCAGATCAGATTGGGCTCTCAGAATTGTAGTTCAAATACAGTACAGAGAAAATTTTATTACATATACTTGATATGCTAGGGCTCTTGAGAAAACTGCTCAAGTAAAACCAATAAGCAGGTACTAGACTGAAACCCAAAACACAACATAATAATTTTTTTTATGCTTCTAAGAAACAACTGATTCCTGGCAGGGTTTAAACTTCAGTTTCCACAATCAAAATGATGAATTATGGAAAGCAAGAGACGGAATAGCCCAAGAACCACCACAACCCCTGTCACATGACTGAATTATAATGCAGCTGCCTCCAATGCAAACACAAGAACAAGCTGCACACATCCACACACACAGCCTTACCCAAAGGATTTGCATACTTCAAGATGGATGCAAAGTCTTTCTTCTGGACTTTTGGGAGGCTTTTGATATAATTTTTTGCCTTAAAACAAACATGGATATTAAATTAGATCTTTGCCCCCTTTGTAATGAGGCAACATTAACTATACACTTAATACCTTTCTCAACACTATTTTGACAGCACGTTGTACAAATGCATTTTTACTGATGATATTCACCTTCTTCCTGAATGGAACGTTTTTTAATCACTTTAAAACCATGATTTAGAAATTATGATGCGAAGCTTTAATTATTAGTGCTCCATATTTAGTATATTTATTCAAATAAGTATGTATGAATTACTTGAAAGAATGTCATAGTGGGTTTACAGCAATCTCTAGAAGTGAACCTTATACAGTAATTCCTTTACATTTAAACTGAACAGTTACACTAATGAATACATTTAGGCTCTTTATAAGAAAGGCCTCAGGATTCTAGAAGGACATTGACATAAGGACAGGAAAGAGACATTTGCAAAAAACTGTGTTTTCTGAGTATCTCTCTGCTTTTAGTATTTTTACAATAAAAGTTGCCATGCATCACCTCTGCTGTTTATATGGCACACACTGGAATCCTGAAATATTTAAATCATATTCTGAAAATTTTCTGTAATTCCACCCTCACTTCCAGTAGCTACTGTAGGTGTACAAAACCATGTCAAGGCAGAGAAGGACCATCAGGGGCCATATCAGCAGTCAATATGTATTACCTCAGCCTGTCTAAGAACTGAGCATGGCTCAAAGGAAAAATAAGACATGGAAAACCAACTGACAAATCAGAATACTCACATCTTGACTGTGCAATTTTTGAACAAAATCTTGCGTTGGTGTACCTGTTATTTTCATTATTTCTGTGAGTTGGTCCAGATCTGAATACCAGAAATAAGGAACAAATTCTTTCACTATTAGGAAAGTAAGCATCCTGCAAAAGTAATGCATTTCTTTGATGTTGGAGAATAATGTAAAAAATTTAATTCAATGACTGAACAGAAGATTTATGAAAGATGAAAGTTCTCCATTTCTCTTAGAAAAAGCAAAGAAAATATTCTAGAATTTAGGAACAGATAATTGATTCATCTGCAAAATTTTCTAATATCAGACTTGCTCTGTATTGTTTGGACAAAAATCAGTCCTAAAATATTAAGATTAACTAAATGATCAACACATGTATGGCATGCACTAGGAAAAAAATGGCTTTTCTATTATCACAGAGCCTTCTACTTGATGATTTGGGATGTGATTCAAAGATCACCTCTACTGAAAAAAATCAGTAATACAAGTTTTAATTGGCAGATGTGGTACAGATATGAAATAATGATTTAATGAGAGAGCTGTAAGCCATTTTACTATGAATTTCAATTTATACTCATCTGTTTTTGAACAGACTTACTGTATCACATAATAACCTCTCATAATTTTCTTACATCAGTATCATAAATTCAGTGAAGGATACGATCATTTCCCTTGAACAGAGGTCTGCCTGTTATCATCTCAGCCATTATACAGCCCACAGACCAGATGTCAACTGAAAAAAAGACCAAGAGGCACATTAACCTGTCTGTTTAAACATGCATAAAGTTTAATTTAAAACACATTTTAAATAAGTATAAAAATTACCTTTATAGCCTTCTATAAAATAAATGTGTGCCTTGCCAAGTATGATGAACAGCACAGGTAAAACTACCAGACTTTGTAATGAGCAAACTGGAGATAATCTTATAAAATGCAGAATGAGTTTCTCAGTAACAGGCACAGGAAGTAAATTTTCAGTACTTTGAAAAACTTCCATAGTGTTATTTTAATTCCCTCCATTTGCCATTTCTCCTTGTCTGTTCAAATTAAAATCACCCCATCTTTATAGGAACACAAGAAGAGAGACCAGACTGTCATGTCTGGATAATTTAAATAATTTTTTTCTAATAACCTTGGCACTTTCTGTTACTCTCAGAAAACGTATATAAAAAATCCCCAAACTCACCACTACATGATTACCTGCAATTTATCTACAAGGAAATGCTGCATTGTCATTTTCACCTCCAATTTCTTGTTCATTGCAGAAACAAAGGCTTGTGTATATCTCACCTGACCCAGTGAATGCTTTAGCTCTGTTAACACACTTTAGAAGAGACACTGACCTGTCTGAGTATAATGCATCCAGTTAAGAATGACCTCTGGGGCTCTGTACCACCTTGTAACCACATAGCCAGTCATCTCACTGTCTGTGTGCCTTGCCAATCCAAAATCCAGGATCTGTAGTGGAAGCACAAACCACATTCAGATCAGACAGCTTGCTATTTAGTTCATACAGTTGTTTACAACTGTAAGAAAAAACCAAAACTGGAGCAATCTGCAGAGATTAGTTTATTTTTGGATCTTTTTCTCATTGAAGTGTCTTGTTCTCATTTTAAAAATCAAGACAGAGATAGCAGAGAGATTTGAGTAACTTTTTTTCAAGTTACATACTTCTATGGCACCATCAAAAGCTGTAAGACCAGTAAAGAAAATAAAAAATTATTCACTTATTAATTAAGGAGATATTGGACACACTTAATGCAAAATATTCCCCAACCACAGAATCACCATTGTATCAAGTTACAGTTAAAAGAACAGCACCCATTTTAGACAGTGTCCACTGCTCTCATATCCCAGGTGACACAGCTATTCAAGAGTGTGTTCCAACAATATTGTGAAGAAAGAAGGTATTGTTATTTCTACTATATGATAGTAGAAATGAATATCTATGTATCATATATCATGATAGATCATCATGAATAACTGATACAAGGGAAGACTTCCTCTAGGTCACACTGAAAAACAGCAACTAGAGTGAGGAATTACCATCACTTAGTCCCATCAAGTCTTCTCCAACCTCCAGCATCAACTACAGAAAACCTTTTGAAACAAATGCAAGAACCATGCAATTTTTTTAAAGTGCTATGCACAATTCAGCTTACTTCTAAGATTCTCAGATATTTCTCTCTAGACACAGCAATGTGTACAGCAGCAAGATTAAAAATGAATGTTATGGCCTTTTCTCAACTTCTATAAAATCTCCTTTAAGAGGGCCCACCTGTATGGACCACCAAAAGATGCTGCAAACAGCAAGAAAATTCCATTCCTGGAACAACAATCAGCTTGTATTGATTGGAAAGCTCATGCTTCTAACAAGAACAGAGAGGCATGGGTATGTCAAGTTCTACTGAAGATAAACCATGGTGACACACAGGTAACTAAACACGAAGCTTTGCATGAGCAGCCACAGCTTGCCATGTGAATCACACTGCACGTTTATTGATAGGGGAGGGGTTTTAATAGGGACACCTGACCATTCCTATGCCAAGAGTCATGTTTTTGTAATGCTCTCTCTGCAATTAAGCATTCTAAAATATTTCAGGATAGTTTCATCATTCCCTGGCACTAACAGAAAAAGGAAAACTATATTTTCATTCACAAATCAAGAATACAAAATGTTATGGCTTATCTTTATTGCCATACTGGAAATATAATTTCCATGTTTTCCTCATAACTGCTGATTACCAATCAATTTAAAAACAGGAACAGAATGCAAAGGGAGACATTTTTTATTCATACCAATTAAATGCACTTGATTGTAGCTGATTCTTTGGGTACTGAAGATTCACCAGATGCAATTTTTTTGTATATATAATTTTTGTATAAACCTTTATATATGGCTTTTATTGTACATATTCAGCACATGAATTTTCCCAGAACAACAGCAGGGATGGTGGAAGGAAAAAAAAAAGTAACAGATCAAATCCAGATGTGGTACAGTCTATTCTGTCACAGTCTTTTAGGCATTTATCGACCAAGGCTTGTGACATGTAGAGTTGGAAACAGCTAAAATATAATTTGGTTTTGTAGATTTGTATAAGTAGAAAATGACAGCAAGAATTTTTGTGTATTATACTTTAACTTCATGATTAATTTTAATTTACATTTCATTAAACTCCAGAACTCATTAAACTCCAGAACAACTGTCTCCTATTTGGACTTAACATAGTACCATTTCACCAAGTATCTTCATATAAAACTTTTATTCTCACACTGCAATCTCCAACTTTTCAGCTTGAACTTCCACAGAAATTTTCAGAGCATGTTTGAAAATCCTTCGTATAATCTGTGAATTATAGAACAATGACCCAATTTCCCTCGGCTCCTTAAGGATAGGTCTCCTTTGACTCAGCAAACTTAATTTTCCTAATTTTTTTCATTAACTAAAAAAAAAACTTGTCACTTTGAGAGTACAGAAAGGACAGTGATTTCCCCTCATACAGCCTCCACTGTCACTTTTCTGATACCTATGAAGGAGTTGAGAGCATCAGATGAGGGAAAAACGAGCATCAGAAAGCTCAGTGTGAAAAACCTGATAGCTAATTAATTACCCTTTCAAGGAATTGTTCCAACTTGCTTATAGTCTCATCATCACTGGAGCTGATGCAAGGGAAGCTGCAGAGTGCACAGACATGGGGGAAAAAGGGAAAATGGTTGCACTATATCTGGCAACGTGATCCTATGCCTGCATAAAGTGACTTTGAGAATGTGCAGAAAAAGATTTTTTAAATGAGTAGATACAGATCAGGAGACACTTGGCCTGCATCTCAAAATATAATTGTACAGCTGGGGGTGTGGGGGATGACATCCATATACAACTGTTTTTCTACACTGTCTTGTTTTCCCATCAGCGTGGGATCCATCCCCAATTTGTCCACCTCCAAGCCAGGAAAAGTCAATGGCTTTTTGTGTTTGATAGGAAAACACTAAAATTACAGAACCCTGGAATATTCAGGTCAGTCTCCAAAAACCAAAATTTGTATTACAATGGCTACATGCAAGTATGTAGTTTGCGTGTTGCAGGGTAAAATCCACTTTTGTAATGCTCTGCATCACATTTTATTTCATTCCATTAAGGGTGTCCTTCACAAACTTTGATCTTCTGTATCTCCCAGCTGGTAGAGTTAGACTTTTTCTATTTATTTAAAGCTGAAATTCTCACATAACCGAATCACTCCCACCAACTCTTCTGTCTCTTTTAGGGACAATACCTTGGCCATAAGATCTGATGCGTCCTTACACACCAGGACATAAAAGTCCCCATTCAAATTCCCTGTTGTTCTGTGAGGATGCACAGGCCAATTGTGGTTCAAGAGCAAAAGCCTGGCCCAACACAGAAACCAGCCAGCATGTCCACAGCTGCTGCACCTGTTGTCTTCTGTCTTCTAACACGTCTGACTGGTTTTTCAAACAAACATACTTTACCTTCAATTCACAGTCTTCATTTACTGCCAAGTTTCCAGGCTTTAGATCCTGCAACCAGATTTTAAATGAATGTTTTGAGGGTTTTTTTTTATTTTACAGCAAGACATTAAAGTATTCTTTTTTGCTATCTGTCCTTCCTTCTTTCTGGTTTTATAGTTTTTATGTAACTATTTTGAACAGCAACAGGTAAAATGATGTCAGAACACAAATAACACAAACAAGGATGCAAACTTGCACATTTGGCCTTTTTCCAGTATACTTCCCCACCAAGAAAAATCTTTTTTTTTTTTTTTTTTCTGCTATAAGTCAGGAAAATACTTGCCAGTGAAGGAACTCTCTAATTTTTCTACAAGAGGGATTTGGACATAAATTTGTTGCATTTAATACTATGACCACAAGGTTAACAATTTACATATATAGTTCTGGACTGTACATGTTGCATATTAAAATATGCATTATAAAAGTTCCTTACCCTGATAGATTTAGAAGGAGTACTGAAAGAATCAAACAAGATTTTACATAAAAGCCTATGCTTTCTTCTGTGGAAAAATCAATTTCCTAAGAAAGTTAACACAACTGCAACATGAAAGAAGTATTCCCTTAAGTCTCTTAAGCCACCTTAGAGACTTCCAATGATCTTCCACAGTTGTAAAGTTTAGCAAAGGGAAGATTACTGGCAAGGACTAAGATGATATTGCAACACCAATGGCTCAGAAATACATTACTAGATATACATTCTCCTTCAGCTTTTTCAAACCTTTGTATGATACACTCTAGCACAAGATCTTTAGAAGTAGCTTCTCTCTGAACTTTTAAACATGGATCCACCTGTTTTATACAAAGATCTTTTAAGATCAGAGGGGCCTTGGAGAGAAACAATTTGGTGCAAAAAAACATAATGAAACCAAGAAGCTCAAGGGTCATCAAGAGAGACCTTAGAAGAAAACTAAGCAATGGTAAGTTTAGACCATGATCCCAGCAGTTGCAAAAATAAAAATATGAATATCTTACATTATTTTGTCAGTTGTGTATTTTCCATTTCCAGCTTAAAGCTGATACAATGTGCACTGTCTATGGTGCTCCTGACACTTTATTAAAAAAGGACAATTTCTACTGTTCTAATGCAGTTTCAGGGGAAGATATACTGCTTGGTACCACAAAGGCATCATTCAGAACTCCTTCCTCACAGTGCAGAAGTGATTTTAAGTGGACTTTATACAGAGAAGGGATTAAAAAAGAAACAAATGCTTAATTAATCTCGGAAAAAGCTGAGGTTCTTCAATCTCTATAATTTTGGAATTTTTTTTCAGTTTCTAAGGATCCCTCAAAACTCTGAACACTAATAAAACATTTAAAGAAAACCTAAACACTGTTTTTAAAAGTTTACTCTTCATTAAAAAATAAACAAAAAACCCCCAGCTCTTATCTATCTCAATTTAGACACTATTTGCTCTTGTGGAGACTTACAACTCAAGTTCAAAAAGTAATCTAGGAACCCCAAATCTAAGCTGTATTCAGTGCAACTTGAGTGCCAGCTTACACTGACATAGCCATGCCACCTTTTGTTCCCACTGAAGAGGAAATCAAAGGTACCAACAAACTGAGAAAACCTACAAACAGAATTTCAGGCCTATTTATAAGCATGCTTATACACAAACATCATTCACATTATCAAAATATAAATATCTTTCATGCTTTTCCACTTACCCTGTGAATTATGCCTGATGAGTGAATATACTGTAAAAAGAGAAAGTATTTTTTTAGTTGAGGTCCTGAGTTTAAAAGTAGCCTGGGGTAGGAGAGAAAATACTTTTACATGGTGCTAAAGTAAACTGAAATGAGAAAAATTTTATTTGTTGCACAGAAGATCCCTTTAGCTATGGTTTTAATGTTTATTTAATGTTCATTAGCATTTTGTCCTTTCCCTCCCTTAATAATGAGAAACCACTAAATCAGTCTAGTAATGCAACTGATATATGTATATCAGAATGAAACATGCTATTTTACACATCAGAAATGCTCTCCTGCAATAGGTGTCTCTGGTGTGCCATCATAGTTTAGATTCATATGCTTCAGCAGCACTGGCTTTTAAGAGATCATTAAGACTGGGATGAAGGCCAGTCAAGGTCTTATCTGAGAACTCTTGCTACATGCTTCAGTATTTCCTCAATGGAAAGTGGAAAGGTCAAGTTCAAAGACATTCTCTTTACCTGGATATTTTCATCACTCATTCAGTGACCTATTTAAGGGCTCACAAAAGCCAAACCACCAAACTGAACACCCAGGACTAGTTCTTTTGGGATGACACCTGATAAAATACAGATGTTTGAATCCATGACTGCCACTAAATGCTCCCCACTGAGGAATGCAGTTTCTCTCACCACTGAATGATACCCTAGAAGAGACTATTTTCATCACAGCCAATAAAGGGAACTTCTAGTAACTAGTTCAGATACATGCATCTCTTGCAAAGATCAAAATGCAGATAGCTGTTCTGAACTGAGGACATAGTTTCCAAGAGCAGCCTGGATGTGCTAATCCCTTCAGGGGTGGGGTACTGATCTGAAACGCCCACAGACCATACTAGTGATGCTAAAAAACATGAGAACAATAAAAGTATTTAAAAAAAAGACTTGAGAAAAGATGAGTAAGATGCAAATCCTCCAGCTTCACCCAAAGAACTTTCATTTTATTCCGCTCTGAAGAATGGGACAAGTGGCAACAGGGTCACTGGGAACTAACTGGCAGAGCCAGAGAAGACCAACCAGGAATAGTCAGCATAACACTACAGAAACACACAGAAGAAAGGAGCTTTGCAGGATAATTGCAAATCAGCCACAACCACAGCAATGACCATCTTCCCCAGCTGCCCTCAGGATGGGCAGTTAAGCTCACAAATGCAACAGTCCCTCTGCAAAAGGGTCCTCATAATCCAGTTGATGAGAAACACCAAGACAAAGAAAGCAAAGCTACAGAAGAAAAACCAACTTCTTCAGACAGAACCAATGTGCCTTTCAGACTTAGATTTCTGAACTTAAAACACAACCCATACAACCTAAGCAACACAAGATCTGAATTTATGGTGCCAAGCTTTTAAAGCAGTGACTGACACAATCTCTGACAGTTAGTCCTCTCTTATGTGGTCTCACAGGTTCTGAAAAGAGGGATGGGGGGAAAGCCCCCACTTCTTTGACCCTGTGCCTACAACTTCACCAACCCAGCCCAGGCTGTGGTAGGGCCCTGCTGCTGCAGGGTCACACTGCCGTGCCAGAGCCCAGGCCTGTCCTGGCAGCTGCAGTAGTTCAGTTCCTGCTGCAGATTACTTACAGATTGGGCAAGGTTTAACAGCACCCATAGGAAATGCCAGAGCCTCTCACAGGATTTCCTGGGGCTGACACAAGACTTTGAGGGCATACGGATGCTTCACAGAATGTTTGCTGTAAAACCACTACAGCAAACACAAAACTACAAAATGCTTTATCTGTCATGGATATGCATGAAGTGAACTGGGACAGGAGGAGGAGGAAGTTTGTCAATTTTACATGGAGACCATATGTACTTTAAAAAACAAAACAACAAACTCAAACTAGAAATATAACTGTAAATAGTTAAACTCCCAATAAATTAAGAAAAAGATGTCCTCTGTTATCACTATCTTGATCGAGGATATCACAATATCTACTTACATTCTAAATGATTGCAGTATCTTCTAACTGAAGCCTCTTGATTTTCCAGAACAGATGCTTAAAATATTCTATAGTTGGTTTGTGCTGCTAAGACTGTACACAGTAAGGAAATAGCTGGCAGACCCAGTCATTTGGCACCTAAGAATGTGGAATGTAGAAATAGGAACTAAAAGGTCTGCACCCTTCACAATTTCAGTTAAAGAAAATCTCACCTGTTTGGGGGGAAGAGTATGATTTTGCTGTCATTCTCACCCCACTGAAGGTTTTATGAATGTCCACAGCACCAAAATCATGTTAACACCTTGGGGAAAGCTCCTATATTTTCTGAAAGTTCCTCTTAACATAACACTACTGAGATCACCTGAATTAGCAGTTATTCCTGATTGCAGTGCACACATCAGCCTTTCTGTAGGCTGAAATACTGGTGCTGTGCTGCAATGTTTCTTTAACAATAGCAGTATTTTTTTAAATGCATTTCATAATCTCCTGGAAGGTAGCAACACTGGAACTGTGCCAGTCTTCATTCAGAAGGTTTTCTATTTCTGTTCAACAGCCTTCTGAAATGGGATCCTGTTCTTACTGGTTCTCCTCATTAAATTATCCATCCATTGACAGATTTTTCATTCTTAATGATTCAGAACAGAGTAGGCATATCCTTCACAAAGTTTCTACCACTTCACCTGAACCATATTTTATTCAAGAACCCAGTTAACACAAGTGAAGTGCCTTGCAGCACAGGAGCTCTGTGCATTATCCCAAAGATAATTTTGATAGCATGCATAAATCCTGGAATGCAAACTTCAGATCATGCTAGGAAGTCATCCAACAATCATCTAAATTTCAAGCATTCTTTTCTTTCTATGTCACCTCTACACAAAATAAAAAGCTAATCAAAAGGGAATTAGCAAAGACTCAGGAGAATGTGTTCTAGGGAACATGCAAAATGAAAATGAAAAGCATTTTGGCAGGGAAGTAAAAACTGAAGAGCAAATGAGTCAGAGGGGGAAGGGAAAGCAGACAAGCAGAAAAATCCAGCATAAATGTGAACAAAAGGCAGTAAATACAAATGAGAAAAGGAGAGAATTAGAGTAGTTCATCTTACCATCTTGCCATAAATATGGCAAGAGAAGCTTGAACAGGTGTTTGCATGGCCCAAGAGCTGTCTGTCCCTTCCCAAGCACTATGGACAAAGAGAGAGGACTGACAGCCACCTCCCCCAGACCTCTAGGAACAGGAGCCCAGCTGGCATTCCTGCAGAACAGGGACCCAAGACTGAAAGCTGCACTCTCTTTCCACCTACATATACAGACATTTATGTTTAGCTTGCCTTCTGTGCTCTTTGACAATACACAGCTTTTCTGTCAAACAACAGCAAAAAAGAAATTATGGAAGCCCTTCCAAGATGCAAGCTCACATGTAAGTAAAATTTAATGCCAGACTAAGGTCCAACTAGGCAACAGGCAAAGGAGAGGTAAGCCATTGCTTTTAAATGGTGCCACATCACATTGAATTACAAGGCTCACCAAAGAAAGAAAATTAATATTTCATTCTCTGTAGAAAAAAGACAGTAAAATGATAAGAACTGACAAAAAAGAACTGTACAGACTTGCAGAGCAAAGGCTGAAGATAAAAATCTTCATGAACTCAGTCGTGACCTCAATTTATACAGGTTTTTTTAAATCAAGGCTGTTGAGCCCTTTCTATACAACCAATCCAGAAGCAGCCTACAGATAGAATGTAGAAATGAAGCCTACAAGGAAAATGACCAGAGGGCTTAGCAAAAATCTCCCTTATCCCTTCACAGTACATCAGTCACACAGAGTTCTCCCTTACACACATTAAACTGTCACATGTAAACAGGTTGTTACAGTAATATATGCAATGTGACAAAAATGATGAACAGCCTTCTTGCCTTTGACCAAACATAAATACAGATACCATAAAGTTCTTATATACTTTACAAAGGACAAATGCATACTGCATGTTACATCTTTAACACCAAAAAACCCCCTCAGCATAGACTCCATCAAAGTTAAAAGGTGAAAAACAAAGTCATCATACAAAGGAGAGGCTAAGCTTGAGAAGCTGAATGAGTTTTACCACAAAGATCTACAGTGGCATTCTCCCCCTTCCCAGGTGTTGCAAGCATTTTTCCCTTATAATGCCTCTACTGAGTTGTAGCTAAGTGTATGTATGTTTGTTCCCCATGCCCAGCCAAAAAAGCAATCCAAGTAAACACAGATGGGCTGTCTTTAACCCAGATACAGCAGACCTTAAAAAGTACAAGACTTTCATGAAAAACTTGGCTAACCCTTTCTTAAACAGCTAATTTACTGATATCTGTAAAAGAATAAACAAATTACTGACTCATTTTCTTTCTTGTCTGCATGTTAGCAACACTACTTTCAGCTTAACATACTTTCTAGCACAGACAGGGCTACAAGAATGTGCCTCAACACTAGACCATTCCTATTTCATAAAAATATTTTCAGCTAGGTGTGTACTTCTGGCTCAAATGGTTCAATGAGAATCCAACATTTAATGGAACAGATACAGGAAAGATTGTTCTTCAGAGTTTGCTGTGTAATAAGAGATGACAGAACAGTCTAGTAGTGAAATAATATTTTATTTCCTGCTGGTAATTTTGAGGTAAGTACAGTTTTAAAAACATGGGGTAAGAAACTATTCAGGTAAACCACTTCTTACAGAAGATCTATCACAGTTACTATCTCAGCATCCCTGCTGGTAGCTGTTGCCATGTAACTGCTTTTATTTTTATGTTCCTCCCACAGGAGACACTCCTTCATGAACTCTTTCAGCATGTGTTCTTCACACGGGATGCAGTCCTTCAGGAGTGGACTGCTCCAGTGTGGGTCCCCCAAGGGCCACAGGTGTCACCACTAAACCTGCCAGGAGCTGCTTCAGCACTGGCTCTTCATTTAGGCCACATCCCTGGGCCTCAGCATGGGGAGCCATGGCTGCTGTGTGGATATCTGCTCTGTTGTGGTCCTCCATGGGTTGCAGAGGAGCAACCTGTGCCACCATGGTCTTCATGGCCTGCAGGGAAATCTCTACTCCAGCACCTGTAGCATCTTCTCTCCCTCTTTCCCCACTGACACTGGTGCCTGCAGGGCTGCTTCACATTTTCTCACTCCCCTCTCACAGCTGCTGCCAACATTTTTTTAGCCCTCCTTAAATGTATTACCATGCCATGATCATTGCTGATGGGCTCAGCTTTAGCCAGCAGTGGGTCTGCTTTGCAGCCAGCTGGAACTTTGTTCAACAAGGAGGCAGTTCCTGGTGTCTTCTCACAGCAGCCACCCTGCAGCCTTCACTAACAAACAAACCTTGCCACAAACCTGCCCAATATATCCTCATAAATTCCTGCTCTGTTTTCTTCCCATGTATGTCAACCACACACAGTTGCTCCCCATTTGTCTTCCACATTTACTGATCCAACAGACTTCAGCATCAGCCTTTGGGGCCACAAGCTCTGCTCTGCTGGCCTCTGTCACAGAGTGACTGTCACTAGGCCAAGATGTTTCTAAGCCATTTCACCAGAATTAAATTAATTATTCATCCTTTCCACTACACTCAACCTAAGCTAATTCTTTACAGTTCACATATGCCTGTAAAGTCAGCACAAATGCTGTTTTTCATCCCTGGTGAATAGCATGCCTCTCCTGGAAATCTGCTTCCCAGACAGTTACCTGCTGGAACTTAAACAGACCACTCCATTCACACAGTCCTCCAGACAACACTTATTAGGACATGGCTTTGTGACTAGGGAACTAATCACAGAACTGAAATCGTAACTCCACATTCAGAATCCAGGTTAGAGGTGATATTTCCTCCAGTTTAAATAAAACAAATTTCCCCAAACCTGGCTTTAGTTTACCTGACTTGAGGTTCCTATATTTGTAACATGGGAACTGTAGCACCTAAATGCACAACTATAAACACAAAAGATAATTACTTAGCACATATAAAAGGCTATGTGAACAAAAATCTACTAAAATAAGAACACAAAATCCAGGGTAGGGTCAAAGAGAAATCAATAATGCAGGACTCAACAAGAAAATGTATTTATTACGGTTTTTAATGGGAGTAAAACAATTTACTTGCCCTTCTGTATCTGTTCAGTGCTGAGGGACAACAGAATCATGGTTATGCTGCTCCTGATGTCATTGTCCAGGCACAGCAAGCTGTGCTGCTGTTTAATTATTTTTTAAGTGTTTGGCAATGCAAGCATAGCAATGAATCCACATCCTGACGGAAGTGCCAGACATTCCTGTATCAAAATCAGGTCTGTATTTCCACTGCACAAGCACACCCCTACACTGACCTCACTTGCCTGTACAAGTACAGAGCAAATTTCTGCCCATACACTGTGTGGTTACAGGACCATAAAACCAAAACTGTACAGTGCCAGCAGCAGCCAAGGAATCACATTCCATTTAAGACAGTGCCATTCCATAGCCTCCTTAAGTGTCTCCAGAGCAGCAAAGAGAATTAAACAGCCTTTACTGCAGGAGAGCCTGGACAAAGCCTGCAGACCTAGGTCAAGGTTTTTCTTCTCTTGGAATTGCATCACCAAAAGAAAGAAGTAGTAAACCCAAAGGTAAACACAGTAATTTAAGAACTGTAGTACCAGTATGGACCAAGAATCATTTTCCCATCACATTAATATAGGTTATAGATAAAAAAGGGAGCTTAAGGAATCTTCTTTTTGTGTTGTAAGACCATGAACTTCTACATGCAAACTGTGAGCAAAAACAAAACTAGGGAGAACACAAGCAATTGCACCAGGGGCATGAAAAAGTCAAGGTACTCAATGCCTTCTTTTCATCCATCTTTACTGGTACTATTTATCATATCATAGGTCCCTGAAATTGCTGGAAAAATCTTGAGAAAGGAAGATTTAACCCTCAATGGAGGAGGATCAGATAAGGAATATCTGAACAAACACAAATTTAACTTTTAAACAAACAGCCTGATGGGATGCACCCATGAATTCTAAGAGACGCTGGCCAATGTCATCAGGAGTCCACTTAATAGTATGTGAAAGGTCACGGTGATCAGGAGATGTTCCTTATGATTGCAAGAAAGCAAATATTGCTCATGTCTTCAAAAGGGTATTGAAGAAGGGGATCAAGAAAGGCCAGTCAGCCACACCTCACTCTCTGGGAATGTGATAAGCAAGTAATTCTGGAAACAATTTCCAAAAATTACAAGGACAAAGAACTGATTGGCAGTAGTCAACATGGATTTACAGAAGAAAATCACGCTTGACAGCCTGTTAGCCCTCTGTGATAAGACAACTGGACTGGTGGATGACAGGAGGGCAGACAGTGTTGTTTACCTTGTCTCTTGCAAGGCTTTTGAAGCCCTCATAACACCCTGAGAGACAGTGGAAGTAGGAGCTGGATTAATGGACAGTGACTGAGCTGCCAGGATCAAAGCTGACTGAACTGCCTGGATCAAAGAGCTGTGATCAGTGGCAGAAGTCCAGCTGGAGGCCCATCACCAGCACTGCCCCCTTAGGGATGGTACTGAAGTCAGTGCTGTTTATCATTTTCATTACTGACCTGGATGATGGGACAGAGGGCTCCCTCAGCAAATGATAAAGAACTGACAATAAAGTTGACACACCAGATGACTGTGTTGCCACTTAGTGAGACCTCCCCAAACCAATAAATGGGCTCACAGGAACCCACCAAAGTTCAACAAAATCCTGGGAGAGAATAATGCCATGCACCCCACAAGGCTGGAGATTGACCAGCTTGGCAGAAAAGGACCTGTGTCCCTGCACCAAAGACAACCAAAAGCCTCATGCATTGGGCAGAGGATTGCCAGCACCTTGAAGATGATCCTTCCCCTTTTCTCAGCTCTGGTGAGACACATCTGGAGTGCTGTGCTCAGCTATGGGCTTTCCAGTTAAAGAGAGACACTGAAACAAGCTTAATAATGATGACTATGGGACTGGAGCACCTTATGTAAGATAAGAAACTAAGAGAGACAGGATTCTTCAGCTGTAAAATTATACTTTATATAATAAATGAATATAATGATTTTAATTTAGTATATAATTTTTACTATACTAGGTGAGATAAATTTTATCCTGCTATTAAATTATAAGTACTTATAGTTCTCCATAACAGTTTACTAGGAAAAAAACCTGTGAAATCAAAATAGTAGTACAACTGGCAAACCTTTAAGCCTTTCAACATCTGATACACCAGGAACTGGATTCGATCTTCAGTTAATTTCTCGTGCTTCATTATCTTACTCAAGTCTGTTCCCATAAATGGCATAACGAGGTAGCTTAAAACAAAACAAAACAAAAATAGAAAGAAAACCAAACAGATTAACTTGATTAACTTTGTCATGTAAAGCATTATTGTATGTTATAGTTCAATTACAATATTAAATTACAGATCATTCCATTTACCAAACAATTCATCCTCCCACCCTCCAAGCCTATCTGTTTTTAGCTGATTGTCTTAAAGAGTTATTGCCCAGTTCTGTCACTGATTATGGAAATTTGCTAGTTATAGAACTAGCTTAGAAAGAAACTAACCAAAAGCCTCATGATATTTCAAAGACAGCTACACAAAAAACTAAGACATTCATGCAAGGCAATGTACCTCACAGTCATGACTGAGCAGCACAGCCACTGAACTACAATATCTGGAGGATGATTTTAGGGTCTCATTTCAAACACAGTGCTTCAATGCTCATCATGTACATGTGCACTCTATTACATATGCATATTACATATGCTGTGTAAAATGCCAGCACAGTAGACAATATGGACAACATTCATTTTGGCTCAACAATCAATATGAACACATGCTCCATGTTTTCTGTACTTCATTTTCTACATTTTTCTGTCAGATAGCTTTCTTTGTTAACATATAAATACACAAGGTTGTTTAGGAAACATAGATACACTAGATGAAATCCAGAACAGTTCTACTAACACAGGAAACCTGCATTAAACCCTAAAGGATTTCTGGGCACTGCTTCTCTAGCAACTCTAATTCACCAGAATTGTAGCAGTAAACAAATAAAACAGCAGACATGTTAAACATCTTGTGTTTGAGAAGCCACCAAAAGGCCAGGGAGATGTGGTAGAAGCAACCTGTGTCAGCTGCTGTTTGGACCACTGACTGGGAAAACAGTCACAGGGCACAACAGACCACAATGCAGATAAACACCAAAAAACTCAGCAGCACCAGCACTTTTAACTGATCCTTGAATTTGGATGGATCCCACTGAGACATGCCACATAGTGGGAGTAATTTTTAGCCTACTGGATTGGGTTAAGAATTGCCCTACCATTTAAGCAATCTGGGCCTTCGGGTAAGAAATCAGGATTTGTAAGGTGGATTAGGGGATTCACTAAACTGCCATTTATTAAGGGCTGAAAGACAGGAAACTGGTTCTAATGACAATCTGAGAACTCCAGCCCACCAAAGCTGCATGTAAGAGTTATATTAAGATGAAACTCAGAAAGAAAAGTCCATGAAGCAATAATTTTGAAATTCTCTATTTGAGAAGCAACACCATTTCATCCCACACAAACAACAATGCTCTGCTCCAAAAACAACTTGGAACTTACAAGTCATTAAACTTCTCCAGTGTTACATCTGGTGTGAACACATCCAAAATTCCAATGACCTAAAAAAAAAAGAATAGAAAAAAATTAATGGCTGATTTGACACAATAAAGCCTAAATCACCTAATAAGTGGAAAAATATAATCTAAAACACATTGAGACATTAACTATAGGCATAAACATGGCAGAAAGAATACCTAAAGTAGTGCCAGGATTTGTTATGTGTTAGATTTTATAACTCAGATGGCAGTTTTACCCTATGACAAAAAAATATAAGAAGTACCTACTGGAACTAAAAGTTCGGAGGCTAACAGTTTTATGTAAGAGGAGACAGTACTTTATCACTTTAAATACTGACATGCTGAAAATAAACCAGAAAAATCAGACTATAATATGAAGCACTTGTAAGTGCTCTCCACCTAGCTGGGCCTGCTGCTTATCAATGAAGAGCACTTTAAACATCTTCCAATTTCAGTAACAGGGTAATTTAGGTACATAGACTACAATAGCTTCTTGGAAGCACAAAGAAGAAACCAGAATGAAGCTGGTTTTATTGAGAAAAAATTAGCAAGAACTTTATATGATTTACTGTGGCTTATACCTCAGGTTCTCCAGAGGTTTTTATGTCAAACAAAAGCATCCTATCACTGAACAGAGAAATAATAATCCAGTAAAATGGATTTTCCACCACAGCTTTTCCTATTAGTATGGGTTTTGGGAGAACTATACAAGCTGACTGGGTGCATTACACTAAATACCAATGCTTCTTTCAAGACCACTGAACACCAGAAAATTAAATACACAGAACTCAATGCTCAAAAAGAAGTAGCTGGAGTGATCTAAACCCAGATTTTAGATGCTGCATAATCCAGGCAGTGCCTAAATAACACAGGCTTTTAGAGCTGCCTCTTTTCTACCTCTGCTGCTCATTCATGACCATTTCTGTCTGTTCAGAGGAAGACTTCCAAGCCTCAGAGTGCTCATGGTGTTTCCCAGGTGCAGGCTGCTATGTCACAGAATCACAAAGTATTCTGAGCTGGAAGGGACCCACACAGATCACTGAGTACAACTCTTATGTGAATGGCCTGTGTGGGGACTGAACCCACAACTTTGCTGCTCTTAGCAACATGAGGCTGTGCAGGACTTTGCCAGAAACAAGCTAAAAGACTAATAAGCTTTGTAACCCTGTTCAACCCTATCTTTGTGGCCATACAGACATTAGGTCACACATCAAGAACAGTCATCCAAATCAGACATATTCTTAAATAAGTGAAAATAAAGAGAAGTATGAGCAGAAATGGAGGGGGGAAATGCAAGAAAATGACACCTTCCTTTATTTAAAGCTTTAAATGCCCAACCATGATGAAATCCTTACTGCGCATATTTTTACTCTTCCCACATTAAGGGCAGACTACTACAGTTAGACTGGATATTGACAAAATGAAGAAGGTAGAAAAGCTAATAAAGATGAAGGCAGAAAATTATAACTCCCTTTCTCTGCGCATATATCTTTGAAAAAAAAGTCACTAATAATATTTACTTGGGACTGTTATATGAAACTAATTAAAGAAGAATAAGTACTATAAAATAATAATTAAACCCACAGAGGATGGGGTTATTATTTGAAGTAATACCACTAGTGCTAACATTACAATAAGAATTTTCTTTTTTATCAGTTTTATATAAGGTTTTCCTTTTCTCTGTGGAGGTAGTGAGAGAAAGGAGGAGGATGGAATTACAAAGACATACTTTGCAACAGTGGAGCATAATGCAGCCCTACAGGCATTTCCTAAGGCAGTGTGTGTATGCAAACACACAACCAGAAAAGTTGTGTGCTCTCTTCAGATGTACATATATGAAGAAGGAAGTAAACATTTTAGCAGTAATCTTATTTAATATGCATCTTCCTTTACCAAGCTCCATGTTCTCAAAAGTCTTGCTTGTTCTCCTTAGCAAGTATTTCCATGCCCTCATACACCTAAGCAAGAACCACAAGAAAATAAATCCCACCACATTTGAATGTAGCAGTGAAAGACACTGGGACACCACAATGAGAAGAAGGGACACAGAGGAGGATGAAATAATGTGGCTGCTCTATCTCATGCATCTGGGCACCAAGGCATTATCAGGCACCCCCTGTGGAATACAGGAGCATGAAGAACACATTTCCATGCAGAACAACCAGCCCCAAAACACACTAATGAAGTTCACTAACATCCTAATGTGTATCCATTCAAGTACACAGAGCTCCTGGTACTTAATGCTGCCTGATGTGCATTACTGCTGAGAAGGCTGCAAACTTACAGAGACAAACCTACCACTGCTGCAAATCCTCTACAGTGAATGAAGCCACCAAGAACAATGCTCAGCTCCCAAAGAAGGGAATTTGAAATAATGAGCTAGAAAACTCTTTAAATATGCTAAGGATTTCAGAATACTTCTCTTCCTCTACAAACCAGGTTTTCTAAAAATCCTGAAATCCATGTTAGTGTCCAAAATGGTAAGACATACTAATAGTGAATCAATTTTAAAATATAGTGAAGGACCCATTTCCTTTTCCTCAGTGATTTTTATTTAATAGTTGTGGTTTGGGATTATTTTCCTGTACTGGAGCAGAGTCATTCATATTTCCATTTAGGCCAGAGGTTTTTGCAGCTATATTAAGCACAAGGAAATATGTGATAAAAGAAATCCTCTGAGGAAGATACAACTCCAGCTACTTGTTCAGGAAAAGGAAAAGAAACAGACAAAGTGTAGTCAACTCCCTCCTTTATAATATGATGGAAAATTCTGCTTCTGTTTGAAATCTCTCAATTAAAGACAGCATTTGTAAAGAACTTTATGATGTTCCAGCACTAAAGCAAGCCACCATAAACAATCACAGGAATAATTTATTTTTTCAGAGTGTTGACTATATGAAATGTACCAGAGATATCTGTGAAACCTTCTATAAATGTATTTTTGGTGTAAATCAGCACAGTTACTGATGCTATCAGAGCTGGAAGCTCAGCTGAGGAATGAACCCAGTACACTCTGCAATGGCAATGAAAAGGATCTGTGGAAATCAGCAGCAGTGCTGCCTTTTCAGGGTCTTATTTTTACCCCAACTAACTTGCCAAGAGGCAATTTCTCCCACAAAGAATGCAGCTACTGTACATTTGACTGAAAAATAACCTCAATTTCCTCAGCCTGCACTGAAGTACTTTAACAGCTTTTATCTCAAGGACAGGGTGTAATACTGCATCACTTCCACAGAACTACAGATTGGTTTGGCTTGGAAGGGACCTTTAAGCTCATGTAGTTCTAAACCCTTACTATGGGCAGGGACACTTTCCACCAGACCAGGCTGCCCAAAGCCCCATTCAACCCAGCCTTGGATGCTTCCAGGGATGAAGCATTCACATCTTCTTTGAACACCCTGTGCCAGTGCCTCATGACCCTCACAGTAAAGAATTTCTTCCTTATGTCCAATCTAAATCTACCCTCTTTCAGTTTAAACTATTGCTCCTTGTCCTGTCTTATAAAAAGCTCCTCTCCATCTCTCTTGTAGCCCTCCTTGTGTACTGGAAGGCTGCTCTAAGGTCCCTCCAGAGCCTTCTCTTCTCCAGGCAGAACAACTCCAACCTTCCCAGCCTGTCTTCAAAAGAGAGATGTTGCATCTTCCTGAAGCAAAAACCCACAAAACTACCCATCTCCTGGTCTAACTTGTTTTCCAAAGGTATGCTTTCACCCCAAAATATTTACTCTGAAGCCAGTGGGGAGTGGGTAGCAGCATCTCCAGCCTTTCTTAGCCCTACTGTGTGTGTCCTCTGACCACATTCACCAACTTTACTGTTGTTAACAAATAGCAGGTTCACATTGGTATGGTGGTTTCTGCCCTTCCCTTCTCAGCTGCCTTCTTTTCCAAACACCATTCCAACAGCAGAGCACAATGGTGAACAGCTCCTTACCTCTGCCTTCCCCTGTACTTTGTATTGGATTACTTCTATTCAAGGACTGACCCATTTCATTTCTGTAAAAGACAGTTTCTGATGTAAGCAGCAGTACATCAAAAGACCTGAATCTAGTATAAATTAATAAGTAATGTTGGTTATGTGTCTCATGCAGTAAGTGCTGCTTTCTCCAGCAGATGTTATGCATGAAAACACAGTGAAGTTGAGTGGCTTTAGCATTCAGGCTAAACATGCAAGTACATTTCTTAAGAGAGAGCCTTGCTGAACTACATATTATGTCACATTAAATTTTCTGCAGGATTAACTTCACATTTCTGCGCTGTTCTCATTATGGGCATCCTTTTACTACACTAAAAACTCCCAGTCTTTTTAAAATTTTTACTATTCATGCCAAGGCTTGTACCACAGTCACCTTTCCTCCTCACAGAGATGAGGGACACCTGGAATACCTCTTTTTCTTTTCTCCTGCCAGCACATTGGCACTCACAAGGCATATCCATGAGCATCACCACACTCTTCCTTCAAAAGATTCATATGTAACACTGGACAGATTCAAATCCTGCAGACAGACTCACCTTCATCTCTAGACTGGATGACAATCAAAAGAGAAAGTTTGGGTTTCAGTGCAGCTTTTCTTATTTTAATTTCATGGAATAAGCTCATCAGTTTGCTTTACCAGAACCCAAGGCTGGGTGTGAATAAATGGCTATCAGCTGAAGCCCAGCCTACATACAGCAACTATTAGTCAAGTTAGGGAAATAGGCAGAAAAACAACAGATATCCCTATGCTGATTTATTGACTTTGGAGTATCAAAATAAAATTAATCCAGTGTCCCGTTAGCTCCCTAGATGTGCTTTCAGCCTGCAGAAAGGCGGACAGGAGCGTTTCTCCCTTACAAATTTTTGACAGCAATGAACTGTCCAGTTATAACTGTGTTTTTGCTTTCATAAGGACCAATAAGGATACTTGCCATTTCCAGACAGGAAATATATGCACTTTACTGGCATATATGTACCCAAAGAATGTGAGTTTTTAGCTGGTGCAGTCCTGCAGGACTTGCTGCAGGAAACCTCTTCTAACAGAGTGAGCACACTCATCCATTAAGGCATCACTCATCTACAACTCCCTTGTTGGTCTGATTTTGTGCACTGCAGATGCTGCTGCTTTCCTCTGCTCATGTCAAGCTAGATGAACTGCAAAAGGCGACAGATTTAAGATTTTTCTCAGGCAAGAACACAGCGTGACTAACTATTTTCTCTGGAACTAATTCCTTCTCTGGTTGACACTCCGTAGGTGAAAATAAAAAGCTCAATATTTTGTTTTAAATAACAAAGAAAACAGAATTAAAAAGCAGTCAACCTAAAAGCGGATCATCCTCAGAAATGTAATTGTAGAGAGACAGACAATTTGGTGTCTGTTGGATATCCAATTCCTTCCAAAGGGGGAAAAAAAGCTACATGCTTCTCATAATGCAAAACACACACTGGTCTTCAGATGTGGGGATACACCAGAGAATAATTTCCACCCTGAGCAATGAATGAGAGCATAATATAGAGTACCTTTAAACAAATACTGCACTGGTCTCTTACATACAGAGTTTCCAGGAAGGGAAAACATCTGTAGAATATTAACTGACCCAAGAAATGTTTAATGGGCATTTGTCAGAAATGTTACTCCAGAAACACATTCAGACTAACTCATAGAACTGTGTCAGAATTCAATGTGGGCGAATATATGCACACACAGGTACACACACATGCACAAATGCCACACTTTAATAAAATCCACGCTGCTCTGACACGAGCCACCAGTATAAGCCATTGCTCTTCTCTTCCTCTCTCCAGTGCCATCTCCCCTTGCCAGCTATTCTATATTCCTGCTTAAAAATTTCTCTTAACAACCTGGAGGTGAGGAGAGCACCAGGGCTGGAGCACTGCAAACAACTGTGCACTTGTTTCAACAAAAGCAGTATCAAGGTAACACAATCCAAGCATGTGAGAAAATCCAAGTTATTTGCCAAAAGAAACTAAAGGTTCTGCACCTCCACTTGTCTGGGTTTCACTCTGCATACACAGACATCTCCATTAACTGCAGAAGAATACACAAATACAGAGCTATGCAAATGTTTGAGAGCTAAAGCCAGGATCAAAGTTAGCACACTAGCCATATTTTCACTGCTTTTGGTTTTAAGCCAGAGCCATAATAGGTAAATTTTAAAGTTCCTATTCAAATGAATTTTGGACAGAAATACAGAACAGAAGCAGCACTACTGAAAAATAGTTCCTAAAGGTAAAAAGACCATTCCTCTGTACAAGATTCAGCAGATGTGAAAGAAATAATCAAGAGCTGGTAAGGCTGTATGGGGAGGAATACTACAAACTAGCATGATTAAATGAAGGAGAAAAACAGCCCCAAGAAGAGCTTTCTTCATTCTGCCTTAGCTGTGGTTATTCCTCATTTCCATACCATGCCCTTCCACATGCCAGCTATCACAGAGTGATCCAGCAGCTTATCCCACTGGAAACAAACTTTTCTTTTTGGCAATGTCTAAGGAATTGATCTGTGTTAGGCTGCTTCTTTAGTAGTATAAACAGCTTACAGCTTATGAAGTTTGGGAAACATCCTGTGCCCTCTCAAATTAAAAGGCCTACCCCAAAAAAACAAACCAAAAAAAACCCGGCAGCATACCAGTGCCATTAACTGATTTACCTCTCACAGACAAGTCCCATCCCCTTCACACACAGCCTCTGTCCCTTGGCCCTCAACCCTCCTTTGGACTTGTTTGCAAAGGGCTGATGAGAAGCCCCATGTGATCAAGTCTGCAGGGTTTACACAGGAAGATTCCTCACTACATGGTCTCCACAGAAATATGCCTCACTACATTTACTTGAGATTTACTTCAGAGACTTTAGGGAGAGCAAAGGTCTAATGAAAGATGGTGCAACCAGCCAGCTCCTCCTGAAAATCCCTGAACAGACAAGCAAATTGACCTGTGACTTAGCGTCCCTACAAAGTAAAATACAAATCCAATAAAATTTGGTATAATTACTCCTGTATTTGCTTTTGCAGGACTTCTGGTCATCCTACAACCATTCTGCATAAAAAATATGAGCATATTTCTCAAACAGGATATAATGGAGTCCATCTAGGGTATTAAGCAGTAGTTTTACTCCATTTTTCTTCACTGACACGCTGATGAATTATATCCATGAAATACAGGTTTAATGGGATCTTCTGCTATCTTAATGGAGATAAAAGATGGAGATAAAAGATCAGAGCTGCTATTTTTAACACAATGTGTCAGACCATTACAACTTCTTCCATTATTCTGAATACAGCATAAGGTTAAATAAACTGTGATAATGTATTGCTGCATGCTTAACACAAGAATTCCCTGAAGGCTACGAGGGGCAGAGATGGTTCATTGAGAGGTAATCAGAGTGAAACAAATAAAACATCACACTTCCCATAAAAGCCGACATCAAATTCCTTGTGGTCACAGAAGTAATTTTGAAATAAAAACAGGTAAGAAGAGTGAATTGGATGCAATTTTAACTATCAAATAAACAGAAGAAAGTATTTCCTCAGAGGGTGGTGAGATTCTGGAACAGGTTGCCCAGAGAAGTTGTGGACATCCCATCTCTGGAAGTGTTCAAGGTCAGATTGGATGGGGTTTTGAGCAACCTGGTTTGGTGAAAGGTGTCCCTACCCACAGCAGAAGGGATGGAACTAGATGATTTTTCATATCCTTTTCAATGCAAGCCATTCTGTGCTTCTATGTTTCTATGAAATATGCAAAAAGAAGCCCTTTGACAGAATGGTTGTGGGTCCAAGGGATCAGGCTGAAAATCATGATGAGGAGCAATACTGCCATTCTGGTTTAATTTTGGATGGGTCAAGCAGCTAAAGGAGTCCCCTTGAGATCAGCTCAGGGACTGAAAATCCTGAGGCATTGCTGCTGCTTCTAATTCACCATGGCCAACATGACTGACAAAAGGGAGTGAGGCTGGGGTGGCAGATAGGAATTGTCTTGATGGCTGCACTGCCATGTCAGTCTCATCACAGATGGGTGGAACAGTCAGTTTCTGCTTCCAACCCCTGCAGCATCATTTACTCAGTCTTTGTTCTCTAATGAATAGATGATTTTAACAATTCATGTTAAAACTTCTCCTTAGTACATAAACCACTTCTTTCTGTGGCCCAAATGTTTCCTATGATTGTAAATCATTCTCTTCCTTCATATATATTGATTTGTAACTTGTACAGATTGTGCTCAGGTTCCCCAGTGAGCATTTTCTTCTGGACTCTTTAATTACAAATTGAGCCCACAGTGGAGTTCTAGAGTATTATTCCAAAGGGCATACACTGCATAAAACCTGCTAGGAGTAGAAAATGCTACCCAACAGATTATTCTGGGAAATGGAAGAAAAATAATCTCAAAATTCTGGACACAGTTAGGAGCTTGGCAACTGCACAGGCTGCTCTGCTCCCAAATGTTCAGTAAAGAAAATGCTGAGAGTATTAAAGCCCATACACAGAAGTTTCCTGCAAACATTAACTCTTAAACATATGCAGCAGTGGTTATCAGGCAGTTACTTTGAAGTAATCAGACTAAAACAAGTAGATAGTTTCTTAAGCCTACAAAAAGCTCTTTTTCTTTCTGGACTGTCAGGACAGCCCACAAATTATTCTTCAAACAAACCTAGTTGGTACTCACAATATTAGTATTATAATGTTAAATGGCAATGACTAGTTATTGTTATTACCACTTTCTCTCATCCTCGCTTTTGATGTCTCAGTTTTTTGTGAAATGCCTTGAGACTCCATAACAGCTGTTTTTGCACAAACTTCTTTATTTTTTTTCCTAAACTCCTAAGCAGTACTGGGACCATGAATCTTTCTCTCAATCACACTTTCAACACTTCTTTCTACAGCTGTTCTTTCACATTACATGGGAATTATGTGCAGAGTTCTGTTACCTATTCTCTCCTTCACCGTAGAGCAATTTGTTTAGTCATTTGTGGACTTTTCCTGTTTCCCATTTATATCAGCCTGAAAAGTTCAAATGCTTCATGAACAAAAAAAAAGGAGAAAAATGCTAACCTCTCCTCAAAGATATTCATGTGTGCATCTTCAAGCCAGCTCAGGGGAACCAAAAAAAAAAAGAAAGAAAAGAAAAAAAGATGCTGGTACTTAAGATCCACAGACCTGTGCTCTGTGTTCTCCTGCAACTCACAGGAAGGTAGTAATGGAGACTGTAATTTCTGGTTTTTAATCCCTCTCACTAGCACTGAGCAAATTGCACTGTGGTCCTAACCTTCCCCACCCAATTTTTCCTACGTGGAAATTAAGTGGTGTTTCCCACAGGATATTCTAGTTTGTGTGAACTGATGTTTGTAGGACAGGCAGACAAAAAAACAGGCTGAAAGATTTCAGAATTCCATTCAGCTACACATGTGCCTTGTCCAAATGTATATATTTTCTTTGATTTAGAGTGCCTAAGCTGTAGTTTTGAGATAATGACTCAACTCACGTTTTCATGCTTCATGTGTTTCAAGAGGCGCAGCTCTCGGTAAGCTCGTTTGGCAAAGAGTTCAGACTGAAACGGGCGGTACAATTTCTTAATGGCCACTTTGGTACCACTTCTTCCATCGACGGCTGAGCTTTAAGGGAAAAGAAAGAGTTTGGTGAGCAAGGACCGAAGCAAGTCGGCAAAGCCCAGCAAACCCGGCCAGCGGCTGCATCCTGCCCCACGCTGCCGGGCCCTCGGGGGGAGACCCCGCCCCAGAGCATCTCTGCCAGCAGCCATCTCACTTCGTTCCTTTAAAAGCCTGCCAGGCTCTGTGATGAAATGTAGACAGTTATCAAAAGCTTTAAAGAGGAACATCTGCGGAGTGGGAAAAAAAAAAATCCCCAAACTAAAAATAAGACAAAAAATCCCACTAAACACCCAAGCCCATCACCAACGCAGAGCCAAACCGAGGGGTCCGCCCTAAGCGCTAAAACACCCCGGGCTTCAGGGACGCCGCCGCTCCGGGGTGCCGCGGCCGGGCTCGGCAGCGGCGGGCAGCGCCCCCGGGCATGGCTGGGGCAGCGCCCCCGGGCACGGCTGGGGCAGCGCCCCCGGGCACGGCTGGGGCAGCGCTGCGAGCTCTGCTCGCTCCAGGCACGGAAGACGCCCGGGTCGGATTCCCCCGGCGGAGCAGCCCGGCCCGGGGCGGCCAGGTGAACAGCGGGGCCGCCCCTCTGCACCCGCGGGGCAGGCGGCACCGGGCGGGGCCAGCCCGGGTCCGGACAACAACCGGGAAAAGTTGGCAGGGAGCGACGCGCCAGAGGGCCGGCCCCGGCAGCATCCCCCGGGCCGGGACAGAGGCCGCCGCCCCCCTCGCCCCCACCGCCCCGCTCACCACACGGCTCCGTAGGCGCCGGACCCCACCGGCTGCAGGTCCCGGTAGCGGTCCCGCACTTCCCAGAGGGTCTTGGTGATCTCCTGCCGGTAGAAGCCATTCTTGGGGGAGGACATGGCGCTGCAGACCCCCGCCGGCTCGCGCCGACAAAGAGCCCGGGCCGGGGGAGCGGGAGCGGCCGGCGCCGCCGAGCCGGGCTGCGCTGAGGGGCCGGGCCTCAGCGAGCGGCGCCGCCCGCGCCCGCCCCGCGGAGCCCCGCCGGCAGCACCGCCCGCCGGCACGGCTCACCCCGGGGTCCGGCACCGACATCCGCACCGGCCCGGACCCTGTCTACCCCCCCAGCCCGGGAGCCTGGGGCTGCGCTCCGCCGAGTCTGGGCGCGAAGGGCGCGGTGTCCCGGCGGCAGCGGCGGAGCGCGCCCGGCCAGGGAGGCAGGTGCCGGGGCTCTCGCTGTCCGAGCGAGCCCTTGCAGTGCGGACCAAACCCCTCCGGCCGGCTCTTCCCCGCCACGGGCCCTCCCTCACGCGGGGCCCGTCTGGCGTTTGTGCTCAGGTTCGGTGAGGTGCCTTCGGCTGCTGCATCGACGTGTTAAAAAGTACGAGAGGCTGCAGCTGGCAGAGCTGGGAGTCCAAACGTGAGCTTTTGTATGGCCTCTGCCCTGCGATGAACAGCTGGAGTCCCCAGATCGTTCCAGGGTCAGACCACAAGTTACAACAATATTTCATAGAGTTAAATAAAAGCCAGCCCACACTTGGTTCAGGTGCTCAGAGCAAGTGTCTTGTGCACGGCTGAAGTGAAGTGGAATGGAACTGTTGCAGCAGCGGCTTGAGCTAGAGTACAGACAAGAGCAACTTTCTCAGTAGCTGTGTAGTAAATCGGCCTGGGCCAGCAACACGTGTAAGGTGAAGACCTGGTTTAAAATATGAATTATGCATTCTATGTATGAATATAATTAAAGTTCTTGTCCTTCAGGGTCTGGCACAGCCTTTGTTTTGTTTGATTTCACCCCTGAGCAATGTTGCTATGGTTAGATAATTCAGATTTGCTGCCACTAGAGTTCAGTTTGTGGTTTAGCTCTAAAGGGGCAATCTGGACAAGTTTCATGGCTCCCAATGCCATTTTGGTAGCTGCCACGGGCCCAGCCCTTTTGGTGCCTGACTCCCAAATGTGGAAGCGCCGCCCTGCCCTTGCTCCTCCTGGGGTACAGAACAGCACAACCTTCCAGCTGCCAGCCCTGTGTTCAGCTCTGCTCTCCACTGACCTGTTCCAATCGCTGGTTTAGTGAGGATGGAGAGCAACCTTCTGGCATTTAGCAGTTAACATGAGGCTTGTGAGAAGTGTCAGATTAATAGCAGATGTTTACTTTTAAGAATCCATTGCCCCAGGAGATTATTTTTTAATTTCTGACATCCCTTCTATGCTGTCTGCCATTCAGATATTGGTGGTGTGATACGTGGTACAGGTAAGGTGAAGGATACAACAGCTTTCTCTCATTTTGAACTAATCCATTAGTTAAATGACTTTTAATTACCATTATATATGTTTCTAGTATAGAGAGGATAAGTTCTGCTTCTTATCCCTCACTTACTTTTCCTTTATCCAGTTGTGACTGTATCACTTTTATACTGCTTGCTTTTTATCAAGGCAGAAATTAAATTATTTTGATACAGTAGATAAAAGTACTAATTTAGCATCAAGAGAAGTTCACTCTTGTGCAGAAGCTGAGAATATTACAGAGCAACTTTTAAAAAACATTTTAAATTGACAGAGTTATCCTCTGTTGGTTTTCCCATGTTTTTCCTCCAGTAAGTATTTAGGCATACTTTGCTATAGATGGATGAAGTAGCTGTGTAGGTCAAATGTAAGACCAGCTGGTCATGCATAAAGGAGGTGACCTGGCAAACTTACTGAAAAGACTAGGAAATCAGCACTGTCATAACTTTGTCTAATAAACCATTCAAAATGTCTATGAAGGGAATGAGTCAAGAAACTTGGGTCCATCCACAGCTGGTAGATCTTACAGCAATGTCACAAACTGCAGAGTCTCTGCATCCTGCTAGACTCAGCTGGACACATGGTAATGTGTTTTCCCAAAGACAGTTTGTTGCCAGGGGTCTGATAGATGCTACAGCCATATCTTACTCTGGGCAACATGTGCTTGATAGGATGGATTTAAAAAGAGTGCTATCAGATATTTCTGCTTCTGGCATACATTTATTGTAAAGTTAATAGAAAAAAGGGATCTTCAGATATCATTAACAAAAAATAATAAATGCATTAATAGTGCAAAAATTGCACTTTTCTAATGCTCATCACATAAAGGGAAGATTTAAGAGGTATCAGAATGTGGTGGGTTTTTTTTTAAGAGCCAACTTTTGATGTGCTGGATGGTTGCCATCAGCTGCAAAGCATATGAGGTAGATGAGATGGGTAGAGCATTCTTTCAGTACTCTTTCTAATCCCTCTGATAACTGAGAGCTCAATTTCCCTCCAGCCTGGAAGAGAAGCTTTGGTGCTGGAGCAGAAGCTGTACAAGCAAGCAGTGAGAAATCTAACCATTTCCCTGAGAAATCCTATATGTCTGAAGTCTGGTGAGAGAGTTTGATGGCAAAGCTGCTCACCACAAGCTGCCACTTGGAGATGACAAAATGGCCACAGCCCTGTCTGGAACTGAACTGGAGAGGGGACTGGCACTGATCTCCAGTCCAGGCACTGATAATGCGCAGGAAAGGAGATCATACAAAGTCCTTTGAAGAATCAACAGCTTCCCACCCTTCTGCCTGCTTATATGTCTGTCTTTCATATGATCATTTTATTCTTGATACACTAATTCATATATGAATAATTTGGCTATGTAAAACATACCTTAAATGTCAATAAACATAAAATTTTGCTGAATTGTCAAAAGTTGATTTCTAGAATATTATTATTTTTAAGAAGCTTTCTATATGTCCACCTTCAAAAAATACTCTGTGCCTTACTTGGACCTGTTGCCATGGAGGAAGTAAGTTCATTCTATTTTTTACGACAAGAAGTACAGCTTAAAAATAGTAATTAAAAAAATCTCAATTTTAATCGGAAAATACTCTTGTGCTATTTTGTCTCCACCCTTCCCCAGTGGAGTCACTGCCAACTATTTTGCAACTTTTCTGATTTTGTCTCTCTGCCCAGTGAGCAGGTTGTTTCAGTTCCAGTTTCTGTGACATGTAGCCCTCCTGGGGGCCTTGCCATGGTGCAAGGTCACTAAGCCATCAGCAGAAAGGAATAAATAAATATACACACCTAAGTGCTTTTTCATATTAAAAGATAATTCAAACTATACATTGCATTTTTTCAAGAGGTCAAATGAGAACTTACTAAGTAACTGTGTAGTACTCCATTATCCCTGCTTGCTGGAGGTTGGTGGAGGAAGAGAAGCCAGTTGTAGAGAGTAGTAGACACCTATGTATAAATCGACTACTTTTAACACTCTCTTAGCTTTTTCTCCTCAGAATCCAGCAAAAGATCCTCTCCTACAATAGACTGAAGGAGTTTAATTTTTAAACTATCACAGATTGTTGCAGTGTGAGATGCTATAGTCTACAGAGCAAAAAAACAATTCTTCAAGAGTTTCCCAACCTCAATGCAAAAATCAAATGAAAAGAGCATTAATGGATGCTCTTAATGGATGCTCCATGTTAATGGATATCACTGATGGATAGCTTTACTCATTTGTCACTGCATAGTTGTGCATATCTCCTGTTAAATCACCCAAACCATCATGGCATTCTTTCCCTCATCTTAGCCATCCTTCTCAGTGCTGTCTTCGTTTTCTTTGTTTCCATCACCACCTAATGAGAGAGCTGGGCAGAAGAGGAGTACTGTATGTAATTTTTGCGCAGAACGTAATTTAACTATGGGTTCTTGATTAGAGCAATCAGGCTCTAATATAAAATAGGCATATATTATCTGGGTGTTAATCCACAGGACATAAAGAACAAAGTATTGCTCAGTGGAGGCTGCCAGTTATGGCAGATTTAGTGTATAGTTGTCTCAGAACTGCAGCTGTGATTCAGTGTTACTACTGTGTTCACTATTACTTGCGATTAAATTGGAACCTAAAAGGACTGGCTAAAACCTCTGTGCTACGGTACACATCTTTATATGTGACAATAATTGGAGCTGGGGGACTATGGGAGTGCAAAATGAAGCATTTGTGTGTCTGCAAGATGGAAGCCTAATTGAAGAGTTTTGCTCATTATGTTGAAATTTCTGGTCTAATGGATTAAGTGTCAGATTGGTTGGAAGATCAGTGTTCACACAGAAAACTCACAATATATTTCCTCCTTGTAGTGAAAATGTAGACCCTTTTAGGTGAATCAGTTCAATATTTTATTTTATAGCAGAAAGAAGGGCAGTGGCAGCAACACTAATGTAGCTTTCTAAATCTCTTGGTACTAGTGCCTTAAAACCCCTTACCCAGACTCATAAATTAATGACACTTGGTACTCTCACTTGTGCAAATGTGCTGATTTCTAAGAACCATAAATACTAGCAGCAGTAGCAGCAATGTGTGACAAAAAACCAGCTGCTTTTAAAGCAAAATGAAGTGTTGCTGTTAATTCCTAAGGAGACTGATGTTGTCGAGGTTGAATTCCTTTCTGCTGCTAACAAAAGACATAGTTTACTCCATTTACAGTGAAATTCTCTTTTCATGAGAGCTAAATCTTTACTACTGCTCATCTGTCAGGGATCCTTGGGCCAAGTCAGTAATTTACAGATGTAGCAAAGGATACTTAGGTAATTTGTGCTGGCGGTTCTGTACAGTACTTTTTGGACACATTCATCTTTGACCAGGTCCCAGGAGTGGGGAAAGTGGAGGTCTGTTTTCTTGTTATGATCCAGGAGCACGTGACAGGAAAAAAGGAAGGAAGTAACTTTTGTATTGACTGCTTCCAACCTCTGTCAAAGTTTCTTTTGCTGCCAACATTTTGTCCTTGAAAGGGCTGTTCCCCTCCTGACCCTTAGGGTGAGCTCGCTGTGTCAGATCCTGCAGCACACTGGCCCTCCTTCCCTCTTGCTTTCATCTGGTATACCATATCAAAAAAACCACCAAGAGCACGACCTGGAATTCTGCAACAAAGCTGTCTAAATAATGACTCTACCTATTAAAAATGATGTATTTATTTTAATATATCAGTATTGATTACCTAATTTCCTATTCCCCCCCCTCCCCATAAATTTTTGAATTTATTAGTAACCCTGCTATTTCAGACTCAAGTAGCCACTTTGTATCTTCAGGGTATGGCACATGATATCTTCTAAAACAGTGCTTTTCCTCTAAACTATCCTTGTTTTTTCTTTCCATTGGTCCATTGTAGATTAAGGTTTTTTATTCCTGTCTGCTTTGGCTGTGTCGTATCAATTTCCTGTTGCTGGGTTTCAGTGCTGATGAGGTAAAGAGCTTAAAAAATAAAGTTGCAGATTCTAAAAGTGTTGTGTATACTTAGGCATGTCAAAAGACTGGGATGCATGCAAAAGATTTCCCTTTGGCAAGAACTTTTGATGCCAGTGATGGAAAATTACTAGACTTGGGGTTGCACTAACCCTGATTAGAGTGAGATAATAAATACTAGAAGTGATTTCAATTCACTAGGTGGACGGATAAAAAGGTCTTGTGACTGAAAGCTGAAATTAAATAAATTCAGATTAAAAGTAAATTGCTAACAATGTTGGTAATTGACCAGAGAAAGCCCTTGGACAGCTGTGTCCTGCCCTCAGGAAGCCTGAGCTGCCTCCTCCATGAGCAAAGCCCGGCCCTGCTCCTCCTTCCCCTCTGTGCTTTGCAGGTGGCCAGGGATCAGAGTACCCTGATTTAGTGTGGGCTAAAACCTACCCTGCTCTGCTGAAGCATAAATGCAATGTGTAGGGCACCTGCAAAGGCACAAATGTGCTACTGAAAGTAACAGTGCTGTCAGGAGATTAAACCCCTGTTGTTTAAGCAGAAACCACTACAAGTTTTGCAAATAACATTTGGGCCATGTAATCAATGCCTTTATTAATGACATTTTTAGCAAATACTTTTTTATAAAAGCTTTATATTTACTTTTTGAAATTTACTTTTAAGCCATCTGCCTCACCAAGCCTGACAAAGCCCTCACTCCTCTATATTTACCTCCATCTGCCTGTTTGAGTTGGTAGATAAATGTTTTCTTCCATCTGTGTTCAAATGATAAGCATTGTTAGTGCTAAGCCTCCCACCTTTCTGTCCCATTGGGGTACTGGCTTTCCAATTACCTTCTCCTGTTGTAAACTGATAAAGTTATCAAATTATAGTCTCATGTTGGATTGCCACAAGGGAGCTGGTTACCTACTCTAGAAAAATACTTTAATTATTGGTTTTTGAGGTCTAAATAATTACCTTCATTTTGCACATCTAGGAAAAAGATGTCTGTCTCCCTACTGTTGTTCTTGACATTAAAATGAGATTATTTACAGGTTTTGATGGTAATTCATTAAAAAGGGCTGAGCTATTGTTGCCCATTACTGTCACCTTCGATTAGTTTAAATGCAGCCATGACCATGTTCTTCCTACATAATTTATCTCCTAGAAAAAAACCTGCATCTCTGAATGCCAAAGAAAATATTCAGAGGAAGATTCAGAGTTGCCAGAAGAAATTTTGGAAGCAACATAAAACTTTCTTTCTACCTCAAGTGGCAGAGCTATGGCAACCAGTTTTACCCATCCTTTGAAGCATTTTACAACAGCCACCCTCAGAGCCAGGAAACCACATTTAACAATGAAGGGACAAACCCCATAATAAATTAATTATTGTCGGACACAAAAAGTTGTTGTGAAATCTCTTTACTTCATCTTTGCCCTTCCAACTGAAATGGAGCTGCCAAATAGGCTTGTAAACTCAATATCAAATTTCAGAGAAAATAAAGCACTAAGTTACTTTTAACCGGCAAACAAATAAATTTAAAAAAATGTTTAAGATATGACTGAGTGAACATTTTCATTATGTAGTTAGACAAATAGTTTAAAGATTTAGAACTTTTTCACCTATTTTAGTCAGCATGAAATTCAGTCATTGCATGATCATTACAATCCTCATCCAGCTTCACAGGAAGCCAAAGTAACAATGGCTGACAGCACTTCAACAGAGTCACAAGAAATCCATGCAGGCATTTACTCTCAGATTAACATGCCCTGGGGGAAGCTGAATACAAGTGGCTGCATTTCATTGGATGCAAGTATTGGATAACTGGTCAACATTGCCAAAACAGTCTATCACTTAGTCCATAAATTAGAAACATATTTTCTAGATGGAATGTCTATTTCTATTTTTAAAAAAACCAAAGTTCTTGGACTTGAGTTTTTGTTTTTAAATCTGTTTATTAAGAAAAAGCCTTTCTTTTTACATAGAAAAAATACAGAGGAAAGTAAATGCAGTAGAATCCATTACCTTATATAACTGCTATACAATTGAATATTAACGACAAAGTTTCAGAAAACCTAAATATTATAAAAAGCCACCTCTAAAATAAGACTTTGACAGAGCAAGAACAACACACAAATTAAACATTAAACAGCTGTGAATCACAAGTGTGTACAAAGACACAGCTAACACAATACAAGAGGCCTTGTGCCAAAAGGATATTCCTGTCACAGTATTATGCATATTATGTTCCTGTATACAGTATAATGGAGGAATCAGATAAATTTGAGTCTTTAAAAAATCTCGGTATCTGATGTATCCTGCAATTTTTAAATTTAATTTTCCAAGTTTTCAGAGTCAGAAAATCCTTAAAATTTTGCTTAAAAAGAAACTCCAATGAGAATGCATCAAATTCTTGACTCTCCTTGTTTTGTCATGTCTTCCAATGGCAATTATTTCCAATGACTTTCCCAAGGATTTTGTGAAAAAAAATAAGACAATGTGGAATATTTAATTCAAAGCTGTGAACTGAACTGAGCACTCGTGCACTGCCATCTGTGACAGCCTTTGCTGAAGCTTGCAGAAGTCTACAGAGCTCTGCTGCAGTACCTTCAAGGCACCTTCCTGCAAACCCAGGCAAATTCACCAACAGTCCAGCAATGGCATGGTGAGGAATACACCGGGAAGGAAAACTGTCTCACAAATGGGTATTGTGCAGATTGAAAAATAGATGTGGAAAATAATGAGAACACACACTTGAATGGCAAGAGAAGAGAAAGATTTATTTTTACTGACTTTCAACTGGTGTTAAGATTGCTTGAGAGACATCCAGTACATGTGTAAGACCACCACAGGTATGACTACATATGCATATTCTGTCTATCTCACTACCACGCCCTCTCTTCATAAAGGCACTAACTATAAATAGTACGAAAACAGACAGATAAAATGCCACCAAAAAAAAAAAAAAGATTGCTTGTATGGACTTCTTGTTTATGTTTGTATACATTCATGCTTTAAATGTACAATTTTAAAATTAATTTAAAAGGTCACCTTTATTTTGGCAATACAACTGATAAAATGAAACATGCAGAACACATAGCTTGACAGAACTCAGTGCATAATTTTTTCAGAATGAAGCAGTTCTTTACCAGCCTTTGTGAATTGGGAATACATTCATATTACAAGGCAAAAGACACCCCCACCCAAACCAGACATCTGGCTTCTGTTTAATGCATCTGTTTTTCCACATCTCCTCCAACATCTTTGGATAGTAAAATCTATGTCTGACCACAGGTTAAATTGTATGGTTATATTTTAACAGTCTTCATAGTGCAGCAAGGCAAGACAGAGCTGCCTGTATTCACTGTTCTATCTCCAGGCTGTCCATTTTTAGGTCGGGTGGTTTAAAGCTATTCACTTCTTCATAGGTAAGTTCTGTAGAGGGGGTGTGAGGAAGAGAGAAGAATTAGGTGATATTTTCTCCAAAAGAAAAATATTCCAGACAAAACAGTTCTACAGATACACGTGACCTGTAGTTTGTATTTCCAGCCTCTCTAGTGTCCAGATCCAAAAATAGACTGAATTCACTAGGAATCCTCCTCTTAACCTCAGATTACAAATTAGACTCATAAATACTGTTATTGTACAACATGAATTGTCCCCTTCAACTAATTACTAAAACACACAGGTCCTGAAAGGAAAACACCAATTATGCTGTCAGATGACCTGCCAAAATGCAATACACGACAATGTGTAATGGAAAATGGAAACTTTAGAAGTATCTAGATAGGTTTTAAAATGTACACTTTTAACTGTGGAAAACATTCTTTATCATCTCTCAATCAGTTGCCTTCAATTATATGTCATTTGCAATTCTGTGCTAATTCCTCAGGATCCTCGGAGTTTTTTGGGTTTTTTGGTTTTTTTAATGTTTTACTGTAGCTGACTTAATTTTACGGTACTCTGAAAAAATTTTTCTTTTTGTCTTAGAAGCACGTAACAGCTTTCATCAGCAAATTCTATATTTAACAATAGCTAGAAACATGGTTACTTGCTATGTTACCCGGCTTTAGGAATAACCCTTTATCTTTTCATGCTAACAGTCATGTCCTGTTTTCTGCCTTGGACATTAATGGAATATGTTGTCAGTGGCTACCTCTTTTGTATTTTCTCAAATTAGATGCTGCTTTTTAAGGACTAAATCCTGTTTGCATAGGGCTAACTTCAGGTATTGGCATTACTTCAACTTCTGTTTTCCAAACAGTGATGTTTAAATCATATCAAACTCATGCCTATTAGCTTTTTTATTACGCAACTCTGTCTGAGACAGCTGCTATGCCTCCAAGTGTACCTAGGACTCTAAAAAATATGTAAAAAAATCTTGGTATTGAATCCTGCTTATGCACTGGTTGTGTTGTGCTGGACCACTGTGTACAGTTTCGGTGAGGGATTTCTGTGAAGGAAATTCTGTGTGCAGAACTCCAGGCATTGGAGGATTTGTTAGGTGACTTTGAGTGACTGACTTATGACTATTACATAGAATTACAGGCAGCCAGGGAGCAGCTACAGCTGACTGAACTTGGAGAAGCCAGTGTCCTCACAAATTGCACACCAGGAACTGTATTAGAAATCATTCTTACTGGCTGTGTGGTTTATGTTCATGAAATTCTTTACCCACTTCCCACTGCACCTACCCAGCAGAGATATGTCCTACTGGAGCAACATCTAAGGAGAGAATGTATAGCATTCAACTCTGAATAGCATACTCTTGGCCTCTAAAATTTTGAAATATTTTCTAACTGATTAAACATGTCAGTAAGAAATCTATGAGCTTGGGTTGTGAGCCTCAGCAATGTGCAATGGAGGCCAAAAAAACTCTGAAGTGCATAATGTATAAGACATAGTGTCTCAAATCTCATTTTACTTCGGTGCTCAGTCCCTTGAGATCAGGCACCACTGATTTTTAACTTGAACAGAAAAAGAGCAGAAACATGCCAACAACATCTTGAGAAATTGGGTCAATATTTCATCAACACTACAAACATTTTATCTCATCTTCCTTAAATGTGGCACATGCAGTACTTGAAAATGAAAAGTTTATTCCCCAAGATAAAAATACGGCCAGAGGGAAGAAGGAAAAGCAGCAAACCTGCTGTGCAAGTTTGGAGATTTTTCTCTCACACCTTTTTTTAAACCTGAATAAAGGAGGAATGGGACCTGTAGTTCCATCAAGGTCAATGTAAAATGATAAAAAATGTAAAAAATGATACATGAAAAATGCAATGATAAGTAATGTGATACTGCCTTCCAAGAGATTTCACCTTCATGTCCTCATTTCAGTTTAGAAAGCGTTAAGCTGTTAAGATTGTTGCTGAAATAATTTCAATGGAGTTTCATCACAAACAGAAATCCACTTCATGACTCATAAATTGTTAAACTTTCCTGTTAAAGACTCAGGCAACTGAAAAAGCAGCAGAAAATAAAATCATCCATTCCTGAGTACAGCAGCAAATGAAGGCAGCTCTCAACAAACAAGATGTATGGGTGCTGCTGTAGGCTGCCAGGTTTTGCAAAGGAGAGCGTGTGTAAAGGAGTAAGTGATGCCAGTCAATACTCCTTGTTGTACAGACACAGTCAGCTTCTACAAAACCTTTCCAGGGCTCTAGGAGGTTGATTTATTGTAGAGAGAGCCATAACCCCAATATTATCTTTCTTTAAGATATTTGCTATAGACAGTCTTCTTTCTCCCCTGTAATGCCCAGGATGGCCATGAGTAAGACATGGGAGTATTCTTCATCCTATACCTAACCACTATGATAATACATTTTTATCAAAGCTTTCCCAAGTAAAAGTTATAGAAAACACAAATAGAAATAAAAGAACATTTATTTTATGGAAGACATATTTCATCTTATGCCAAGGAAAGACCTTTATTAATAAATAGAAACAATTAGTTTTCTACAACATTATTCTCAATTTAAAATCTCTAAAGGAATTTTTAGAATATGTCCTCATTATACAGTGGTGAAATTGGGCTGTACTTTTCAGTGTCCTTGCAGTCTAATGTTGAGCCACCTTACTTCCTGCAGTGATACTGCAGTGCAATATGATTGTGTTGCAAGCATGAAAGGTTGCAGTATTTATCAAAGAAAGGTTTTGGGGTGTCACTCCCAAGTAAAATCAACTATCATCTCAAACAGGACCAATAGCATGGTGTAGTTATTAATCCAAATTCCTTTGCTATCTAAAGAATTATTAACAAAATACACATCTATGTGGATAATATTACTTTCTGGTTCTGGTCAGAACTAGACCAGAATCCCAAGTAGTGTCACTTGCCCCAGGACAGTTACTTCAGCTGGGGATCTGACCTAGAAAACTAAAAGCAAAACAGAATTTGTAATTACCTTGTAGCTAGCATCAGCTTTTAGTTAAGCTTTCACTGCTACAGGGAATCTAGTAAGGAGATGATAGAAGCAGGGGGTGAAGGCAAAATCCAGAGAGGAAATACAAGCTTTTCTGCTTGTCCACGCCACAAGCACACATATGAACTTGTTTGCCTGAGGCTTAAAAGTTCAAATTCCTCTGGCTAGAAATGGAGGAAAACTGTTGTTTAAGTAAGGCTATCTTCTGCTACATGTCTTGAGCAGTGCATGCAGTTCTGGTACCTTTCCATTCATCGATGGTTCGCTCCTTGTTCTCTATGGACTCGTCGTAGAGCTCGGCCTCGGGTTCATCATCCGGGTCGTGGTACTGCACGAAGTAGGGATGCGCGAGCGCTTCCGACGCAGTGATCCTCTTATCGCTGTCCAAAATCAGCATCTTCTCAAGAAGGTCTACAGCTAAGGCAAAACCAGAACTGCAGTTCAGAGCCAGAAGAGACCATGAGGAAATTAAAGAAACCGTCTATTCTCACTCACCTTAAACACAACTAATATTACTGGCAAAATTTAGGCAACATAATGTGGGATTTCTGGGCTGTTCAGATGGTCTGGGGAAAAGCCCAAAGATGGCCTTGGGCCCCCGGGTTCGAAAGGACGAGAGGAAGCTTCAGATTTGTTCTTGGTCTTGGTGTTTATTAATTGCTTATCTAAAAGATTTTCTCTTGGCCTGACAGAGTTCTGCTCAGCAGTCAGCCATGGGCACACACTGAAAGCCCCTGGGGCGGTCACCTATCTTTATACCCGGAGTTACGTATACAATATTTATCATTTTTCTCCAATACCCTCTACCCATATTAACCAGTGTTCCCCTAGTAAGGTCCAATCCCGGAGTGCCAACATCACCACAGAAGATGGAGGCCTAGAGGAAGAAGAAGAAGGAGAAGGGCACGCCCCAATCCCTCCATCTTGCCTCTCTAGACCCCCCTGTACAGGGATCTTAAACCCTGTATCTCACACTCCAATTAACTTGTCCCTTCACCATTCACCCCAGTGAAATCCTCCCGTCCTCATACTGATGTCATCTCCCATGTGGGATCAAAGTCCAGCCACCAGACATCTCTGGCAACATTCCAGGACTCCCGAGCCCCCCAGGGGGGGTCTGGTTCACCCTGCGCCCCAGTTCTGAGAGACTGAGATCCCACAACATAACAAGTAAGTTTTGAAGATTTTGTGCTGCAAGTACAAAAGAGAGCTGAAGGAAGCTTCTGGTCTGCTTGTGGCATGCGCAAAGGCTCAATATAATCAAATGGAGATCTGATTCACCTCTTCAGATATCTTAATTCTAAAAAGATCCGTATGTGCTTATAAGGTAATATTCTATGTTGTGCTTTGTGTGCTTAAGTTTGCACTGATCAGGACCAAGCTAAGTAACTTGTGAATAATAAAGTGTGAGATTGCACTTCTAATAAACTGCACCAATGAAACGATCAGAGGAAAACCCCAAAGCCACTTCACAGGACCCAGCATAAACAAAATATGTTTAAAGTTGACATTTGAAGTATACTTCAACTATCTTATAGAAATAAGAGAGAGTTGTATGGCTGAAATGAGTTTTTTTAATGGAAATTATAACTACTTCAAATACTATTTTTTCCCTGCTTTCATATAAGCATTGGCATTAATTTGCCTTTATGCTATTAATACATAGCATGCTGTCATGTACTTCAGGCAAATAAATCCCATTTTTTAATATGAAAATGTTCCAAACTAGTTGTATTTGCAAGAATAAAATTTGTATTAATACACAAAATGAATCCAAACCATTTTAATTCACAATACTTTCCTTTAATGTGCACTTGATGGAACTGACCTGGTACTGCAGTGAAATTACTCTGATGACTCAAATGTCTTCTTTTTATGTCACAAGAAAAAGCTCACAGAAACATCTCTTTTGCACAGGCAGAACCAATTGATTATACAGAAAAACAATCACAGAATCAAAGGTCTGCCTTAGCCTAGTATCCTGTGTCCAACAATGGCTCATATATTCCTAGGAAATAATACTCATAGGGTCATTCAAACAGCAATGCTTCCTGGTATATTCTTCTGCTTGGCAGCAATTTACAGCTCATGGCCTTCCTGAGCCAGAAATGATGTCTCTAATCTAGACCCCATGACATTTTTATTTATTTCTGCTATCTACAGCTGGCTTGTGCTTTTCATCTATGGACCATTTCCCTTTAGGAGGTTCCTGTAATCTCCATCAGAAACAAAAAGACACAGGCTTCATAATGGGAAAACAGTCTCAGGATGAAAGGTTAAGCAATGCTTTTCTCACTGTTCTGATTATTATTATTATTATTATTATTATTATTATTATTATTATTATTATTATTATATGGGATCATACAGCAAGGAACACAAGGAATGCTTGAATCCCTATGTTAGTGAAAAATGTTATCTGTGTCAGTCTGATTTTCTTACCTAATGGATTGGCACCACGAAACACTGCTTTCAAATCCTGCTGAGGCATATGTGGAAGAGATTCGATGTATTTTCTTGCCTAGAAATAAGTTAATATACTTATGATAAGGGTTAAATTTTGATCAACAGTAACCACACCAGCTCTAAGAAACCAGACATTGTATTTTTTATGTTTCTTACATGGGAAATCCTTTTTACATAAAACCATAATGTATGACCTTGTTTCAAACACTCATCCCTGTATACTGGACAATAAGCAAGAGAGTTTTAAGCAGGTACATTTTTATTTAAGGCTTTAGTGTTAGCACTTTAGTTTTCACCTGTGCTTACTGGTTCATTGCAGTATATCCCCAGGGAATACATGCATGTAATGCTCAGTCAGAAACTGCAGCCTAAATCATCTTTCAGTTACCCTCAGCAAAGTGGTATAATTCAATCTGTAGCCTTCCCTCATCTCTCTTCTCTGGTGAGACGTAGCTTCACTAACCAAAGAAGAAATTCTGCTACTCCATGTGAATGGATTTTCAGATGTTTGACAGAATTTAAGAGCTTGCCTTTTCACTATGGCTGTGAAAGGTTAATCCAAACTCAGCTAGTAAAAGCCTGCCTGGATATAGGATCCCCAAATGTCAGCCTGACAGTACATGAGCTACAGATTTTTAGGCTGAGGTAGGTAGGTTGGCAAGGAAGAGGTTGCATATTTGGATCAGACAGAACAGGGAATTCTGAAAAGGAATTGTCAAAAAAGGAGCAGATGGCTATTCCCTAAATCCATAAAAAACCTCAGCTGGTCTTTGGACAAACTCTAACCCTTTTAAAACATGTTTGTGTTACAGACATGTCTCTCAGGATTTTAGTAGTCCCGTTAGAAGGACACTATCTGCAGAAGGCTAACTAAGCATCCTGGGTCCATGGAAAAAAGCAACTAATCAACAACTAATCCTAACATGACTGAATAAGATGCAGTGAAAATTACCTCCAACTTGCCCAGAAATCCTTTGAAAACAAAACAGACCTATCAAAGGGCACGTACTAGCCTGTCCCCTCTGCTTATATACTCACTGCAGAAACCTGACCAGGAGAATCCCGATGTTTAAATTATTCTGAAAAACAATTACCATTTAAACTCATATTAACATGAAACACCGACAAACACCTCAGTAACTTGTGCTGAAGCATCCAAGGAGGTTGATCTTTTAGTTTCCAGTTCTTTAATTCTCTACTTATAACAGAAAATAGACTTGGCATTTCAGCAAATCTCTGACATTGCTGTTACAGGAATGTTAAAAAATTGTCCATGCCTGCAAACTGCATTAAGAAATACCTAAACATAAGGCCAAACTACATGGTAAAGAAGGACTAGAATGAAGAAACTCCCTTGCAGCTGGCAATTACCTCCAAGCAAGGCATGCATCTCATCTGACATTGCTCCTTTAATCAGGCAGCAGCAGCCCAGAGGTGATCTAGCAGCCCTCCTGTTCATTAACCTGGTTTTTGTGTTCTGCCTGTGCTATAAAGGTATAATTAGCCCAAATAAAATAGTTTCAGGATTCCTGTACCTCACTGAGCTCCGAAACACAAGAAATTAAAAGAACAAAGCACGTACTATTTCCAGTAAGTATTTAAGGTGTTACTCTCACTATCAAAAAGCTCACTAGTTGTGGGAAAATAACATTTTTGTATTCACTTCTGAGAATGTGTTACAGCAAAACCTGTAGGTCTTAACAGCACATAAAGGCTACAAAAGGACCTATGATACTATATAAGGACCTATGCTTAGGTCTGTGTCCTATACGACGACTCTACAAGGACTCTGCTTAGGACAGCACAGTCTGAGATTTGTTGGTTGATGAAGTCTCTGGCAAAAGGATGGAAGCTTAGTTAGCCTCCTGCCACAGCCATTCCTAGGTGCAGGGGACTGTGTATTGGCCTGTGATGAAGAGGTTTCACTATGCTTGGACCTTCCAGAATTACAGGGCTGCTCTGGCTCTCTGACTGCTCCTGCTTACTTAACCTGCTAGTGTATTCATTAGCAAGGTCAAAGGAAACACATCAATACATACACAAGCTGAGAAACAGCCACTGATGTTAGTCTGAGGTGTATACAGAAGGGGTTTAAGAAAAGAGCTGCAGCTTAGGAGGTATCTGTGTGCTGCTGTTTATCTGAACTCTTACCCTGTGCCCATCACCTGCCTTTATCAAACAATACTACATCTCATTCCTCAGCTGGCTATCCACAGTTATTGCTTACAATGAATCTTTGAAGTGTCACTTTAGCAGAGAAATTAAGTGGAAATTGGTCATTTACTAGATTGCTATTTAAAGAAGCCACATGGAAAGTTAAAAAGCCTACTCTTAACTAAATATTATCAAGAAATTGGACATCATGCAAGCACTTAGAAAGATGAACAAATATGGTTTTCAAATTAGGGATCTAAATGGAGCACTCATGCAGAGCAGACATTTTTTGATTTGGATACATCTCTGTTTAAAAACCTTACAATAATGGAAAGCATACAAATTACAGAGACATCAGATTATCAGATTTAATAAAAAGATATTGCTCTGAGCTGGGCATCAGTTTTAATTTTTTAAATTATAAGAATATTTTAATTACAAACACTTAGAAAGATCATTTGGACTAATTTCTTAACACTTTGCAAAAACTGAGTACATGAGAACAAGTATCAAAATTTATTCAGGCGACAGTCAAGGCATCTGGATGCCTCCAAAAACATGTTTTTTGAATTACGGCATTCTAGCAGTAAAACCAGAGATAATTTTAAGGTATTTGCTCATTTCCAAATCAGAATGTCCATGTAACAGAGGCAGTGACATACAATGCCAGTTAGGATAGGAATGACAGGAAGTCAGTTAACTGAATGAAGCTGTGAACTCACATGTTCTGATGATATCTTCTTCAGAAGCTCCGAACTGGGTGTGCCCACAACTTCCATTATTCTCTTCAGTTGATCAATATCTGTATAATTTCAGGGAAATGAACAGCACACAGTCCTTCTGGGTTTAGACAATTAATGAGCTTCCATGCACGTAACTAAGATGCTTAAAACCATTCAGCAAGATAATTCCTCCATAGCTCACGGAAGAATATCAATTCATACCTTCTTAAACCTAGTCCTGGAGTACCAAATTCTCTACTGTACTATATTAACTTGTCAGGTATGTCAGCTGCATGAAAAATATTGCTTTTCTGTCCTAGTTCCCAATTTAATACATTCTTCAGCTTAATATTAATAGCATGTTTATGTTTCAGTGATCTGAGGGATTTCTGAAAATCAGTTTATTATGATAGACTATTTTAAGCTAATAGGCCTAAATTACTAATCTGAAGACCAGCAAGTGAAAAGTTATCATTTGGCACCTTTAAAAATTTGTTTTATATATGTCTCAAGATTAAAACCTTTGAAAATGTTAATTTTTCATTGTCACCTAGGAGCTGTAAAGTATATTACATTTTTTATAGACTCAAGATTACATCTTTATTTAAATTGATATAATCATATAGTTGTAGACAATATTTTATAACAACAAAAAAATCTTATTTATTGTGAACTATATTTACTGATTTGTTCAATACCAACATATCATGTAATCAAACAGTCTGAGGACAAGTCATGTCCTGATGATGATATATCTGGAGAATGCCTGTGGTTACAATAGAGCCTAATGATGCTGAGCACAACAGAAGGTCAGTGGGGAGACTTGGTCTCAGCTCTCTTAAGATTATTTCAGGCAATTCTAATGTCATAATTCTTTGCACCCAGCAACAGCTAAGTACTAGCAGAAGTGTTTGTTTTTGGGGGGGTTCAGAGTAGCAAGAAATGTAAATACAGAAGAATGTGCTCTTGTTTCTCATAATAAAAGCTTGATGCAGTTGGTTCCTCATTCCTTACTATGTGTTTTTCTTCAGTTTCCTTTTATTATTTTACCGCTCTCCTCAGAAACATCTCTTTTTTGCTCCTGCCAGCACAGGAAACGCCAATGGAAATCCCTGATGCTCCATCAGGGACCACAGCACAGTGCTGCAGAAAAGAAAGGGCTTTGTTGGTCCTGTGGCATTTCTGGAGCTACTGGCTTCTTTTAATATAACAGGACAGAACATAGATATTCATTCCCTTATTATTAAAAGTTAACTCATTTGCATTTTCCAGAACTTTCAGCCTAAAAGCAGTTCTATTTTGTTAAATCATATTAGCTGATGAAAAAATTATGCCTTTATTCAGCTTCAGTTTTAGTGTATGCTATTTCAATAAGATCCACACATGGAGGAAATCTACCCTGTTGTAACTAGGTTATTATTTAAACACAGATACACAAAAGAATAAATGTAACTTTTTGTTGTTTAAGAACATCTGTTACTGGTTTTTATCCTACCAGTGGGTCTCATATTCAGTTGTCATATACACTGAACTGAAAGATTAGCAAATTGTTTATTCTTTTACAAGTTTGTTACCTCAAAACCATGTCCATAGAAACACTCAAGTCCTTAGGAAAAAAAAGAAAGAATTAGAGAGTATTTTTTTAGTTCAATCTTAAGTTTTATGTTAAGGATACAATCATTTCCTGGAAATAGAGCCTTTCCCTTCAATAGCTCTGCCATGATACATCCAACCGACCATATGTCAACTGCCAAAAAACAGAGACAGAAATGTGCACAATGAATCAAAGAGATCCTTAAACACAGCTGCTTCTTGGTTTAAAACTATCACTACATCCAGCTGTAGCAAAATACAAGCCTTCACAGTTTACCTGTTTGATTGTAGTGCATCCAGTTTAACATAATTTCTGGAGCTCTGTACCATCTTGTTGCAACATATCCAGTCATTTCATCATCAGTTTGACGAGCTAAACCAAAGTCTAAAATCTACAGAATAAAAATAAAATAATAATTTTTTAAAACCCCTTACACTTTTGTTATAGGTCCTGATTTTCCCATTAATCATTACTGAGTTTTCTGTAGTCCCTCACTATCAGTGAAGTGGGACAGCAGCACTCTGCAGACGAGCTCATCTGCTCTCCTGCTGTATCTGTGCAGCCTCTGGTGCTGCTTGAAGATATTTCCACTGTAATGAACCTGGTGCTTTGTTCTCCAAGGCAGACTTTATATTTTGCCTTGGGTTTAGTTTTCCACTGACATTAATTTACTAAAAATAAACACTGTTGCTATAAAAAATGAAATATTATTATAATCAGCTGGGAGTGTTTGTGTAAAACGCTGACAGCAAGTGCCAGTGGCCATTTAAAGACCAAATAAGCTGATCACAAATGTGCAGAATTTCTGTTGTCTAATTTTCTTATGTCTAAGCATCTACTCAATTCACACATTATCCTGATGCCACTAGGTGAGAACTGTATATCCTGTGTAACAATGTAAATTTACATGACCCTCCATTTGTTTTCAGTAGAACTTGACCACCAAAACAAATGAGCTCTGTTTATGTACACAGAGGCTTAATTGCAGTGTGTTTCCCTCCAGATGCTTTCCCTTGCTAAGTTTACATTGATGGGAAGTTATTTCAACTGAACTTTCAGATAATTTCCTTGCTTTCTGTTCTATTCCCTGGTTAGTCTATGTCCTGCCCTAGCTCTAAGAGAGATTGCCTTGGAAGGGTAAAGTCTGAGCCTACTGTCAGTCACCTGAGCTAGCCAGCATCTCTTCACATCGAAATGTGAGTAAGATCATTGAGTGTCTCCTGTGATGAGATCCAGGATTATTTATTAAGCTGATGGCTAATCCTTTTCACAGGGAATAAGAGAACTTCAAGAGTATAATTCAAAATTCCTCCGTTATAATCCAATTAAAAGATATAAAAAGCCTAAAGAAAAACATTAAGATATAAACAATTAACATCTTTACTTCCAGTATAGTTGAAAAGCATAATTTATTTCTTAAGTAAGTGAAGAAAAATGCATGAGGCAAACAAGCAGAAATAATGGTGTGAAACTCAAAAACTAATGCCCTTATTTTTATAAGGATTTTGGCAATATTTTTCCTTAACAGCTGATCCCTTCCACCAAATGTGCATACACACACACTTTCCTTCTCCTTGCTTCTATTTCCTTTTTGTTAGTACTTGGAAATATCCACTAGTTTGTCCTATTAAAAATAATTTGAGGAAGTAAAGCTAAAAATATAAACAAAGCAGAGAGCAGTGTAACAAATGCTATTTCATAATAATAGAAAAAAAACCCAGAAAAAGTCTCCTTTACTTCCAGTATAAAAATACAGTACACATTTTAAAGTACATGATCAAACACAGATGACCTACAAAATTTCACAGATGCTGAACATACATGCATGAAGACATTTAAGAGATAATCATGAAACTTGCTGAGCATCTGCAAGTGTCACTAAATCAAACAGGAACTACACTTTCTCACCACAGATCCGGATTAGTGCAGGAACCTAACTGCACTGTTCTTACTCATTATTGTGGCTTTTTGCTGATCTTGTGGTATTTGGAGTCTTTTCTTAAATCCCTCGCAGCTGGGATAAAGTGATTACATCAGAGTCTTAGAAACAGGAATAAAGATGTTTCTGGCTGTCATGGAGAAATGTTTAACTTCTCATTCTTAAGCTTAAAGGCTTAGAAAGCTACAAGACATCTTTTCCTTCTCCAGAGCCTCATGTTACTACGCAGTATCATATCACACAGACACACCAAGAGTTGTATCTATATAGAGGTGTACATCAAAATAGCATTTGGGAAGCAAGGATTATAGGGTTCTTTTTGGTTGGTTGGGGTTTTTTGTTTGTTTGTCTTACTGCCTGTAACTGGTAATACTGGTATATTTGTTGTCACCATTATTTAATATAGCTTGGATGTTCTACAGATACAAAAATGAAAGTTGTTACAAGTTGTATACACGGCAGATGCAGACACATATGACAGGTCAGACTCTCAAGATATCCTCAGTTAAGTACTCACTCAGAGACCAAATATTATCTATGTACCATCTGTGGGGTACACAGGGATTTTGCAAAGATATTTGTATCCATATTAAATTAACATTTGGGAAAAAATGTTCACAGAAATGGGCAAGTAGCAAACAGTTGAAATTAATGGAATGAGCCATAAGAATGGTAACTAACATTTTCTTAGAAAACGGTCATATTGAGAGTTTTTACAACACTCTGTTACAACAGCATGATACCCACCCTCAATTCACAGTCTTCATTCACAGCTAGGTTACTGGGCTTCAGGTCCTGCAGCAGAACACAGAATTAGTTGAGTACTACTTCAGCCTTTTAAAATATATTCTAACTATGTCTTAGCAACATATCTGATGCACAGAGGGACACATTCCATTAATCTTCATTACCTCAAAGACTGAACTCACCCGATGGATGATTCCAGCTGAGTGAATATACTGTGAAACAAAACAAAACAAAAAGGGTAAGATTTGAAGTTAGAGGTGAAAGGAGGTCAAAGAAAGCCACTTGTCTTGTTTTTTTGCTTCTGAGACTGTTTTATATACAGAAAATACCTACGTCATACCATGTTTACAGATCAGAGGTATGCCAAACTTCAAAACCTCCCTGTTTTGTCTTATCCAGAACTGGATATTTCAAGAAAGGTAACCATGAAGACTAGATTTCACCATGAAAGGCAGCACACTCAGTGATTCTTCTGTATAAAGTCTCCTACCAATTTGGAATTTGTTCCAGCCTTCCCTGGATGTTGATCAGCAGTGGCCTAGGGAGCAGCATGGTTGACTCCTACAGGATATAAGTCACCTCCCCATACTGTGAACACTGATGTGGGTGAAAGCAGCCACACCTGCACTCTGGGATAGGTCAGTGACCAAAATATCCCCCTAAGCCACAGCATTGCTTCAGGTCCACTTGCAAAGCGGTATTTAAGTGGCTATTTTGTGTGTCTGCTATTTTACATAAAACATTTAAAATAAAAAAATTAGAACAGCTTACTCTGTCATTGCCTATTGTTCTCCAATTAGGATTAACAGCAAGTTTATCTATAATCTTATCAACCAGCATGAGCAGGGCCTTGAAAACCTTCTATTCTGTAGAGGTGAATTCACCTGTTTAGGGGAAGGGATTAAACACAAAAACTCTATAGCAACTGGGAAAACCCAAAGAGAACACAAGGGCATTCTTCATGTTCCAGACCTAAGAACTGTTTATCAGAAGGCAGGGCCACCTCTCAATGTTCTCACAGCAACTGCAAGCAGCTGAATGGAGGAAGCCAAAACACTGCTATCAACAGAAGGAACCGTGTCCCTGCTCTGCTGAGACAACCACAGCAGCCCCTCCTGGTGCCACCAAGCAGTCATACACAGGATCAAATGTTCTTTTGCTAATGAGACATGAGAATTTCATGAGAATTTCAACTTCAGAAGAGAGGAGCTACCAGCAACCTCTCCCCTTTGGAACAGAGCCAGAAATGCACCTGAGTGCTTTTCTGAAATGAATATTCACTTAGAGCACAATTCTTACTATTATTTAGCTTTGACACAACATAGACTTATATTCAAAACCACAAGCAGGATAATTAATGCCAGAATCCATCTTCCTAACTAAGCTATTAACTCATGTAAATGAGACAAAGCAATTAAGGGCTCAGTTGTGCAATTTTTATTCACTAAAATCTGTTCTTAAAATGATGGAACCGGCATGCATGAATAAGAATTACTGTCTCAGGCACAAGGTTACTTGCTGTAAAACATGTCATAAGTATATTTCAGAGCCAGTATTTACCATGGCTTTCTTTCAAACACATATTATTTTCCATGTCTAAAATATCAATTACTGTTAGGTTAGCAAGTAAAGCTGCTGACCTCTCTCTTCTGTTTGCTTTTACCTTGGGAAAATCCATACTGGTCTGAGAAAAAGCTTAGCACCAGGTAACGGGAAGCATTACCTACATGTTCTGTTTATAGACACTTGCATATTAAACATCAGCAAAATGATACATATTTTGATGCTTTTGGAAAAAAATTTTGCCGTAGATTCATTGCCAATCGCCTGTGTCATTAAAGTGTATAAATATTAATTTATTTGATTAAAGGAAATAATGACTTTACAGGCACACTAAATCCTAAGTGACTGTGTGCAGCATCGTACATGGCTGGGATAAATTTCTACTCCCCGATATTTCCCAAAGGACACAACTAACTTGCTTATCTCTTCATCCACAAGACACTCTCTACAAAAATCAGGACGGTGTTTTTTTCAAAGTGCCTCATGTTTTCCAAAGCACAAATGTGAGTTACTTTCCATGTTGTTCTTTATCCATTCATATTGTTTCCATATTGTCCATAGTGCCTCAAAAATTCTGAAGAATATGAAATGGATAGAGAACAACACATAGCATGTTATTGTCCTGCAATAGGAACTGAAATAGACACGGATCTAAAGTTAACTTTCAAGGGGAGTATTCACATGTATTGTGCATGTAAACATTGGTAGGCTTGGGGGTTTATTTCTAGTTAAAAAATTATCTGATAATTGATAAATGATTGCTATTTGTGCACTTTAAAGATATTAAAAAAAAAAAAAACATTTAAGTATGTAACATTGCAACCATCCTTACAACATTTAGGTTGCTGACTCATTACTACAACATTTAGATTCCAGGACTCAGACAGTACCTTAAGACCTCGAAGTAACTGATAGATGAGAAACTGTATATGATCATCTGTTAACTTCTGGCACTTCACAATGTTATTCAGGTCAGCACCCATTAAATTTGTCACAAGATATCTGTGAAAATACAGAAGTGGAAAAAAAAATAACAACACAGAAAATTCTTCTAGAAGAGTATCCACACAGGCCATGTAGGTTCCTTTTCCACTGTCTATTAACACATTTTATATCCTTTAAATCAGCTGCGAGTACTAATAATGCAATCACTACTATGAGACTTAATATAATTAAAAAGAAAAATCCTTGCAGTATTTTAGAAGCTTTTATCTCTGTTTTCTCCATGACACACTACAGCAGTGATACATGCAAAACATTTTTTGATGAAGAGGAAGCCTCACCCAACATCAAAGTGGCAGCCTGAGCCACCAAAACTACAGGACCTGCAAGGGCCTGGAATATCTGATGATGGAGGGAAATATTAGAGTGGCAGAAATAAGTGTATTTTGTGTAACTTCCCTCTCTGTTCCCACTGGAAGTTTTATTTTCTGACAAATTTTGCAGAAACATTGATTATTTTCCAAGTACAGAGCTGGAACAAAAGCATGCATCTGTCATACCCAATTCCCATTTGTGTAACTCTGCCCCAGAGTCAAAGGGGTTCGGTCACTAATTTCCGCGGAGACAAAAACATGTTAATTACTATTTCTTCTGCTAAATTGTTTACTTAAGTGCTTATACAATTATGTAAACCAAAAGGAAATCAGCATAAATCATGTTTGAGTCCCACCAAAATATACCTGGTACTAGGTTAGCCAGGAGTCTAGCCTAAATTTACCTTGTGTCAGTTAACTAACAGAACACTTTGCTGCACTCCTGAACTCTGCCATCTATGTATGAACAAATAACCCACAGTTTACAAACACACAGTTGAAGTGAAAAGATTTTAAGTTTATTGGCATTTATGCAGCATTAAGTCATTTACCATATACCTTTAATCTAATTTAAATAATTTAAATTTTCATTTAGAAAAGTACAAAAATGAGGTCTATCTCCCTGCCTCCTCTTTTGTGGAAAAGTTGCAAAAAGATTTTTACAAAGCTGACTGTGGCTGAAAGTCTTTTAGAAATGTATGTTCTTCCTTTTTAAAAGCAGAATGGTATTTACTTACTTAGTAAGTAGTCAGAATGATTTAAAAAATTTTACTTACACTTCGTTAAAGTTTTCTATTGATGTTGCAGGAGTAAAAACATCAAGCAGTCCTATAACCTGTAAGGTGACAGAAGGGGAAAGAAGTGACATTTTATTTTTACAAACCTGTAAAGCAACATGTGATTTGTATTGACAGTGCTCAACATTTTCAGGATGAAACTTACAAAAATATGACATATGGTTATACTGAAAATTGACATAGTACGTGATCTATAAAGGTATCACCTCAGCCATCTTAATTACAATCTTAATTATGAAGAATAAAAAAAAATAAAGGCAGAAGAAGTAATGTCTCATTACAGAAAAGCTGACACATGCCTTATACAATTGTTATACTTTAGATTATGCCCACCTTCATGACCTTTCTTGGTCTGTTTTCATTAACTTTTTTATTCTTTCTCCAGGATATATTTCAATCAACCATATTTTATTCAGGCTTCAAGTCATCAACCTACCTTTAAGCAAGTGGATGCTCCACTGAAATCAACTGTTTACCACATAAACTTAGACCATTAATTAGTAATGTGAGATCTGAAGGTCTACTGTCTTTCATTTAACTATTACACTGTAGTCAATTGCAACAAGACTAATCTGCCCCTAATTTCTCAACAGAATCCACATTCAGCAAAAGCAGGTTTGAGGTGTGGGGTCTTTTTTTTTCCTGGGCTGATGTTTCAAGATGTTTCAACAGTAGTGAATAGAATACTTTTATTACTTTATTAGAGAAGAGTATGATGACTTGTTTTGAGTTTCTTTAACCTCACCTTCAAGATTAAATTAGATATTTTTGAAATAAAAATGCAGTGTGCTGCTGAAAGCTTCCGAAGTCCAGTGACTTCACGACACCCAAGGTGGCTAGGTCCGGGTATCTTGGGTAGCTAGACAGTTGCATAGACCTTTTTGAAAAAGATTGTACCTAACTGAAATTAAGCTTCTATTGTAAACTTCTGTAAGGTCAATCCAAAGGGAAGAACTCACTCTCCACTTACGTTCTCGTGCTTCATGTGCTTAAGCAGCCGAAGCTCCCGGTAGGTCCTCCGGGCATGGATAAGTGATTGAAAAGGTCTTGAGAGCTTTTTCACTGCCACCTTCTGTCTTGTTTTGGTATCATAAGCTGAGCTGAAAGAGGGAAAGAAAAAGCCCACAATATGGCATGTTCTACAGCAAAGCTCTACGCCAGTTCATTGAAGGAACTTGCAGTCTCCTGAGGGCTCCTACCCCTTTCTTTACCCTCTTTCACCTTCTACTCAGGGACTGCAACCAGGGTGCCAGTCAGCAGTAACTCCCAAGTATTCCAACACAGGTCCCTTGTTTTCCACAGCAAATTACTAATGCTCATGGTACTGTTCAGGACTCATCCCCAGGCAGCCCTTTCCCCAAATGGCAGGAAAAGTAACCAGACAATTAGCTCCACTCATGCAGCTCCAGCCTCCAGCTCCAAGGCAGGGCTCGTAGGGAATATGCGGATTCAAACTGAAGTTTGTTCTTACTGAGCAAATTGGAACCTTTACTAATTAGAGGAACACTGCCTTTGTATCTATGAATATTAATCATTATGTAACCATTAGCTTGATAGATGACAATGTCCCCGAACTGGTATCAAGTTAGGATGCTGACATAATCATGCCCATGCCTTTCCCAACAAGTGAGGAATGGGCATGCCTTATACTCCAGCCCACATATCCACAGCATGTGTTTAATGTCCCACAGATGGAGGTGCCCTGCTGAAGAGGACACTAAGTATATAATCAATATTTGCAAGGAAGGGAGACCCACTTTTTTTTTGGGCATTAGAAAGACATGACAAGCACAAGCCACAAACAGATGTCTGATATGTAGCACAGGGATAAAAATGATCCCTGTATGTATTACTTCATACATAGTACACTACACAGTACAATTATAAAAAGACTCTGTTTGTAACCTCCTCTTAAGAAGAAAAAAAATTTCTTTCAGTTGTTACTCTTACTTATTAAGTAATTGTGTTCAATTAAAATACCTAGAAATTCTCAGTTTAAAGAGTGGATAACACTATGTGTACTTGCTAGAGAGCGCTAACAAATCAAGAATCTTCCCACACATTTATCTTATTACAGAACTTTTTTGGAATTACAAACACAAAAATTAAACAACATGAAAAATGCATGGAGTAGAATGTCAACAGTCACAGAAAATGCTATTAACTTCTTCTGCAGTGTTTTAAACACTCTCACAACTCGTTGTAGAACACACCTGCTAGAGACAAAAACCACTCATGGTGCCTGGAGTAGCTTCCAATTTAATACACAGAGTCTACAGTCAGCTGCAAATAGGTGGACTCTGACACATATTTGGTGCTATGCTAAAGTCACAAAGAGCCAAGTGAAGAGCAAAACCTCTATCTGCAGGATAAGCTGATGTTTCTAATCAAGGAATCAAGGGATACAATCAACATGCAGGAAGAACAGTGACATCCAAAAGGTGACTGTCCTAGAAATAACCCAACCTCCACGAGGCCAAGCCAGAATTTCATAAAGACAGAATAGAAGCAAGTAGATTTAATTAACAAGTTTCCTGTAGGCTCTGTGGAAGGAGGGAGTCACTCATGAGATAAATGACATAGATAAGCAGATTACTTAGCTAGTTCTTTGCAAGCATCACAGAAGCTGATCTTCTGCCAAGTTTTAAAGGTGCAGAGTGCTGTGGTTTTGCTGAGCACCTCAGAAAGGGCATTTCCCGAGCAGAAGAAAGAATGCATAGGAACAAGGAGAAGACTGGAATCACTCTGATGAGTGGATGGAAGGGATACAACAGAGAAACTCATTCCAACAGTGGGGCAGGGACTGAGTTATTCAGGATATGTGACTTGATTACATGGAGCAGCTCAAGGAACAAACAGTGTGAAAAGAACTGACAAACAGAAATATCTTAAATTCCACTTGACCAGCCACAAGGAAAGCATGAAGGTTGCAAAAATAAATCTAAAGAAATAAAAAGGAAGCCAATGCTTAGCTTCTAATATAACAAAGATTAGATGTAATTGCCCTGTGTTTAGCCATGGGCAACAAAGCCACTGGAGAACACTGCCAAGTCTCACAAATGCACACTGACTACAGTCTTTCCAGTTTTGGGGGAAAGGAACTGTTTATCCAGGTAAATAAATAACATTGTTCAAAACAGCAGTTTGCTTAACATCTCAGCTTTTCTGGTAATTCACAAGCCTTCCCACTCATGCTTGCACCAGTCTGTGAAATACTGTACACATTATACAAGAAGGCTAAGAAGAATTAGATTTTAAGCCCATTAGCATGATAAACATCACTCTCTTCCCAATTCTAAGTTCAAATATGAGTTTCAGTGGTTTAAAAACCACTGATCTTTAAGATGAATTGCTTTTTATCTTCTATATGACTCAAGGCTGCAAAGCTTTCAGATGATACAAAGCACAATCTTTTTAGCTTCAGTAATTCTTATGACAGCAGCTTTTTAGACCAAAGATGGAATCACATAAGGAGAGAGGAGGAAAAGGAAAAAGTGAAAAGGAAAAGGAAAGTTGAATTCTGAGACCTCCAACAGGAAATCATGAATCGAAGCTGCACAGGCCAGGGACTGACTTGGTTTAAATGAGTGCTTCCACACTCAACTAACCAAAGTTATAATCTGAGCTAATGCCTTCAGACTCCTTCCTTGCCTGGTTTACCATCATCGTAATTCAAGTTATTAACAGTAAAGCATACAAAAATATGCTTCATGTTGTTTGAACTGTCTTGTTTGTCAGATTCAAGGAGAACTTGTAGATGTGATCTCTGCTACTGCCTCTGTGATCACATTTTAAGACTAGCTCTCTCTGTCTTGCTATTACATCATCATAGCTACAATCTGGTTGGTCCCCTGAATCCCTCATCAGCCACTGGGTAAACTATTAGGTGATAGAAGGAAGGAGGAGTTGCTTCCCTTTCTTTGTGATTTCCCCACGAATGCTCAGCTTTCAGAATAAAGTTTCAGATGTCTCTGGAGAGGACATCTCTGGTTCCAGCCAAAGCAAAAATACAGGCACACCTGTGCTTGGCACCTGTAAATCCTTTCTTGGGGGCCTGTAACCAGCATGGTTAAAATGACTGAAAATTGCTTTTTAAAAAACCCCCAAACCCACACTGATAACTATTTTGATTTAACAGGGAAGAAAAGGGTTAGAGGCCTATTCCATGGTTTAACCACAGCTGGCAAAGTGCCACACTTCTGCCTGCTCACTCCTGTCCACTCTGCCTCAGAAAAAAAAATTAAACTTAATGTGTTGACATAAGAACAATTTAACAATTGGAACAAAATATAATAAAATGTAATCATGATGCCAAATAACTGCTTTAGACAGACTTTCTATCATAATTTAGAAAGAAATAGAATTACACTATCTTTTTAGTTAACAAGAAACAACTTTGTAACAATCACACCAATAGCTTTTTCAGATATGATCACTCTTGACCCAGAACCCATCAGAGTTATGACACATTTTTTGCTGTCTCTCCTTTTCAAGATCAAGGATAAAAAGCCATTACTCTGCTGGGATGGCATCATTTTCACACAGATTACAGACTTCGGTTTAGTGTGATATTCAATCATTGCTTAAATTAGACTCACCTTTTTAGTGCTGTCAACTCCTATATTTAATAATTCTATTGAAGTTCCACTAGATGAAATATCAATTTTTAGTTATGCGCATATTTTCCCAGTTCTTAATATTTCAGAGAAAAGTTTGAACACAGGGAGCTACTGCAGTCCAAAAACTCGAGAGGCAGAAAGCATGAGATTTTAACTTATATTTGAAGATAACCTTCAAGCCTCAAGATAACATTATAACTTTTGATGAGATATGGATTTTGGTAGCTGTTTATAACTATGGCTGTACATACAGTAATTTCCCTAGTATCCACAGAGTTTATCCTCTGTGGTTGCAGAGCAGTAAAACTGGACAGACAGGCCATGCATGTGTGCAGCCTGCTCAGACCCCTCAGGGATTTTGGGACTATAAGCACACTATTCACCTGTGGCTGCTTAGTCTTTGGGATCAGATTTGCCTCAGCAGCTGGAAGGCTGTTTGTAGGAGCCTGATCTTAAAACCCCACATGGAGCCAACTTGGATCTAATTTAGTAAACTCAAGGATTGAATGCAGGAAGAATCCTTCCTGGGATCAGCTGGTCCCCTTGAACTACAGCCAGTCCCTGAAATTCCTAATGCTTTGGGCTCAGAGAAGATTACTAGCTGGGCACTGCCCTACCCACAGTGCCTGGAAAAAGTTCATCTTGAATGCAGCATTCAGTCTACAAGTTCTCTTCATTCCTGGAGCCAGCTCAGATGTAGCTGATGCAGAATGAAGGTGTGACCCAAAGCTGGTTGTCCATGGTGCCAGTGTGGTGTCTCCAGCATCATTCCTGTTTGCTGTAGGTTACCCGTGTCAGACAATATTCCATCCCTTCAATATTCCATCCCATCACTCTGGATAACCACAAGATTTTGATTGTCTACAAAGTTTTTTGGCATTATAGCTGTACAAATTATTTAGGTCTATGCAATCTAAGCAACTGATTTGGGGTTAGGTGGAAAAACCACAAGACTAACTTTTCAGATTTTTTTGAAATATAATTCAGTATCTCAGCTTGCAAGGCTGTTACCTTTACATCATCAGAAGTTTGGCAACTGGCTGGACACACTATACCAAAACTTGGAGAGAAGGCTGGACACAGCACATGTGACAGTGACACTGGGTCTGGTCTTTCCCATTTGTTCCAGGATTCTATTTTTGTTTCTTTCAGTGTAGCATAAGTTTATTTCCTTCACTGGGTCACATTCCTCCAAAACATGCAAAAATTCCCCATTACATGTAACTGTTAAGAAAAGACAATAAAAAGGAAAGAAAAACCCCCAAAAGGCAATTCATGCTCAAAATACAGGTTCACAATTTTGAATTCTTATCTGCAGATCTCAGCACCCTTTCAAGTACCCAATGACTTCTTCCACTGGAGGTGACATGAACTTCCTTGTGGACAGATGTACTCTTAATTTGGAAGAGCCTAAGTTATTGAGAAAAACAAATAACAGCAGCAGAAGGGTCTGTGTGAGCAGGTATTGAAGGGGAAAGAAC